ATACCAGCCTACATGGCAAAGCTTGTGTGTATCAGATGATCCATCAAATGTTACAGGGCCAAGGACATGTATTAATCTTCGAACACATTTGAACCTAATTGTGCATCTCTATTTTGCACTTACACAATCCCAAAGGGGAGATAAAAGACTTACTTTTTAACCACATCTCCCTCTCAAGGACAGGACGGACAAAGGGAGCACTGTTCTTGCCTGCATATTTATTAGAGAAACTATTTGACCCTGAATCGTCTGCAGCTGGATGTTATGCCTCAGACACTAGCATTTGATAATTCCTCAAAATGGTGAATTTTTAGATAATCCTCACTTTCCCTAATGTTTGGTATCAGCTTTGGCATGTTCAACAAAGCCGACAAAGATAAAGTGAGAATGTATTTTCTGTGGTCAGCTCTAATGTCACGCTGTCATGAATCATTGACCACAGACCTTTATAATGGATCTTTTCAATCGGGTGGATTTAAAATGATCAGAAATAGTTTAAAAGTGTATTATGGTGTAGATTTTCAGCTTCTTTCATATCTGTTTTATTTGTTTGATTATTGGAATAGTTTTTATAGAGCCTCACAGACTCAAACATTTGGAGAAGAGGTTTTGGGACTTAGATAATTCTATAATGACGTTTTATTTTTCATTCAAAGGGAGAGAATGAAAGAATATTTAGTAAAACACAAAAATATGGGTTTACAAAGAATTTTCAGTGTGTAACAAGCTTCACGGGGAATCACTTGAGCTTTGTTTTGGTCCAATGTATAACAATTCCATTTTCACTATCTTTTTGGGATCAAAACAGCTTATTCAATAATCTTAAGAATAATAGATCAACTAATCTATCATTAAAATAATCGTTAAATACAGCCCTAGTTCCAACTAAGTACATTAAACTTAGAAAGCATTCTGTGTGAGCTGTGAGCAGGTCGGATCTCCTCAGATATGTAACTTTGCCTCATCTCCATGGAAATTTGTATAAAAGGCCATTGTTTGACAATGATCAAATCTCCAAAGGAAATCATATTTAGTCAACATTATTATTATTATTATTATGTGTGAATTTAATTTTAGAGCTGAACAGTCTTCTTGAAAATGTGAGACAGGCTTCTTCTCTGACAATATCTAAATCCAGGTAAAAAACAGGTCTGTGTAGCTGTGCATACAACTGAGGGGTTTTATCTTTATATTTACTCTTTTTAACGTACAGTGACTTTTTATGATTTTAATGCCTTGTTGTTTCTATCTTGTTTTGTTCAGCACTTTGAGTTGCCTGGAGTATGAATTGTGCTATACAGATAAACTTGCCTTGCCTATTTGAAATGCTGTTGGTAATGTGTTTGTCTTTGGTTGTCATTTGTCTAAAATTCTTGCATTAGTTAAACAGTGTTAACTTTCCTTTGCTGATCAGCTGCTTTGCTTTGGGCTGGGGGTCTCCAGAGAGTGGTGTAGGACCACTCTCACATGGGCCTGGGACTCAGTCAGATGAGATGGTATCTAGGCTCAGAGGAAGTCAGGGAGCTAACGCCTTCATGTTTACACAGCTCTGTCCATCCTGGGCCTCTCTGACCCGTTTCTGTTTGATTGGACCTTTCACGCTACAAAAGAGAATAATGAAAGGTGAACAAAAACACAAATGACGCAAGTAAATTTACCGCCGTAACAATATCAAACAAGTGTTACTCAAACTAGGACAACACCACTACTCCTACACTGCAGAAAAATAATATATATGATAAAATATGAGCTAGTAATCCTGTTCTATATTGATTTTAGTAAATTCATAAAACCGGATTTGCCAATAGAACAAGCTAAAACCTCTCATATCAACAGCTGTAGCAATTAGTTTACTAACTCAATAATTTAAAGTGAGAATTTTGTCTCTTAGAAACAGTAAATGTTTGCCTTTCCCATTGTACTTGTTTCTTCAACAGTCTTTTGCCTAGTTTTATTTTGGTCCTCTATTTTCTTAGTTTTTTTTTCTATTTAGCCTAACTCATAACATTAAATCATAGTAGTACAGTTTGTGTACATTTGTTGGCTACATGACTTATATCTGAGGCCTTTTCACTTGAGGAGCACAGTCAACATCACACTGGAGGAGCAATGAAAAGGCATGGATGTTTTACACAGATTGGAATGGATAATTTATACAGGACGTAATCTAAATGTCAACACCCACCCAAAACAAAAGTCCTCTCAACTTTTATGTCTGTTTTGGCTTTTTCCTTTGCTTCCACAGATGTGTCTTCGAACCCCCAACATTGCTTCCTTGCAATCTTTAAGTTAAAACATTATTTATTCCAATTCCAATTCTCCCCCCACACCCAGAAATGGATTAAGGGGATGAAAATGGATGGATGGATGTTCCAATTCTGTAGTCTTCAAGTTAAAGCTAGCTTCAATGAGCAGTTGCCTCAACAACGCTCCGTTGCTTTTCAACGGGACAAAACTTGAGCTTGAAAGTATCAGTCATTCAAACAAGTTTCAAACCCTGAGTGAGTGGGTGGTCCCGGAAGTCCATATTTGGCATACCTGATATTGGCTCATGGTTTAAGGTTATATGAAATGAAATGCTAAGATACACCCTCATTCTTATTTATATCCAGTGAATGGGTTATTATGGATTTGTTTCTATTCAACAGTTAATATTTTGTTATTTTTTCCGGATACAAGCCTCAATGAGTATTTTGTACAATCAGATAGTGTATTTCTGTCTGCAGCCAGATTAGTAGATTTAAAATCACGCCACATTTTCAGCTTGTTAACAACATCTTGTTCACTAGATTTGGGGTGTGATTGACAGCCGGTGCCTATAGCCACAAGTTGAACTGGACAACTTCATCTTCAAGTGCGATGATAAAAATGTGATGCATGTGAGTCTGTGGCAGTGTCCACAGTGACAGGAAATAGCTGACAGCAGGAATGCCCTCACTTTGCTCATTTGTCTGTATTTAGCCCTGAGCTGCAGTTCTGATTCGCCGGCTTTTTCATACAACAACTTCCTGTAAACAAGTTGGTCTGCAAGCCCCCTCCCATCCTCCACCTCTGATCTCTGGAGAGCTCCATTTAACCTCTTTATGCAACAGAACAATCAGTGTGCTTTTCCTCCTTTTCAGGGTTACTGCCAGTGTTAGAAAGAGAGAGTGCCTACTGCAAATGTGGACTCAAAGCACCTACTGTATGTGCTCAACTAGAAAAAAACCTGTAATATTGTCGGGTCCCAAGGTACGATACTTCGCCCACATTGCCTATTGTGTGTGTGGAAGATTGGCTGCCTCTCTTCTGCCAGACTACCCCATGGCAACTGTGGCTACAGTGTAAGCTTAATACACTGAAATTACCACAATGAGCATAGCTGAAAGTCTAAAGTAATTCTACCGCATATTGAGCATGAGCATCCCTTGGGGCAGGGTTGGAGTGATGGACTTAGTTGTATGGGAAACCGGAGCACCCAGAGTAAACTGGAGCAAACACAACATGCAAACTCCCAGTCACTGTGCCGCCCAAACCTCTCTCAAACATTCATAAAAATACACGTGACTGAAGTGCATTGTTCCCTCAGAGTGGTTTTTTATGACATTTATAACATCAAGACTAAGACTAAGACTTCTGCCTTCACAATGTAGTCCTTCCTTAACGTTTTTAGATCCGAGATCCGGTCCCCAGTGATTTGTCGTTTAATTTAATTTTTTTAATCCTCGTGCTGTTGACTCATGTTGAAGAGGCCTTTTAAGCATTAGCAAACTCTGGATCTTTCTGTCTGCCAATGTGTACGCTGTGTTAGTTTTTCCACTCAAGCCAAGCCTGTTCAATATTTGCACAGGTGATTTCACATGAGAAAAGTAGGAAGCTACAGGATTTGTTTCAGATTTGGCCTTTTACAGTGCAAAAGCCATGTTCCTTTGTCTCCACAATCCCCACATCTTTTTGTTGCTCTGACTAAACCGGATTCTATAAAACAAATGGCTTTAAAGGAACTATTTTATGCTTTGTGTGATGCCTTATAAGCAGATACACTGCAGATATTGCCTCTTACTTTAATGTTAAGTGAGAATCTTTTGTGAGAAATGACCACTATGAAGCATATGAGCTTAGTCAAGCTGTTGAACCCTGTCATGTAATATGAGTACTTCACACTTAATACTTCCCAGTTTGTGTAAAATATGTCCAGCATGTGTTTTTTACTCAAGTATACCCGATGACCGGCTCTTTTTGGGTTCCTACTTGATGTGCTTCTGTGTGCAGTAATTAGATTATTTATAAATTAAGTAAATTCATTCTTTTGTAGCCCTATATCGGAGGATTTTACAAAACGGTTGAATTTGCCAACACAGATCAGAGAATCAAACTGTTCAGACACAAGAAATACATAGAGCTATAAGGGGAATGACCAATGTCCATAAATGTCCATAAATGTTGTTGTATGTCAAGTATCCTGGATCATTACCACTGACATTACACCCTCCTGCATTGAAAAACTCAAATAAAAAAACCCAATTCACTTCACAGAGAAGACGAGATACAAATAAGGGACACATTTGATAGACTTTGATAGACAGACAGATAGATAGAATGATAGATAGATAGATTATCAGGTTGTCAAAAGTAAAGAAAGTCACAAATGAATCAATATTGAAACTCAATACTAATAGCAACTGACACTACTAATTAAAATCACATGAACTGGACAACATTTGTTACAGGAAAACAACTGTCTTGAGCATTAGTTGGTGAGTGTTAAACTATAGAAGAATATGTATACAAGTATTTTCTAGACTCAAAATTGAGTTTGAACTGCTACATTGTTACAACACTCGAGAATTTCTCCTTCGGGGGATCAATAAAGTATCTATCTATATTAGACACATAGGATACATTCAGGAATCCACTTTTCAAACAATACCAAAGGAACAAAACTTCACAATGATAATAATAATAATACGTGGTTTTCTTTGTTGTGTGTTGCCAGGTGAGCAGGCAGTGTGTGCTCAAACATGACTGCCAACAAGAGCTCCAATGCTGCTTCTCGGACCGGGGGTAAGGCTCCGCGGGACAACGCCGACAGGTCAGTGACCCGAGGGACGTGGACTATACTCTGCTGCTTTTGCCTCTGCATCGCTAAACACATTTTTGAGCCGTTTTGGAGAAATGTTGGAGAAAAAAAGGACTATAGTGAGTCATGGCGAGCTTCTTAATACTTCTCTGCAAGTTTTATCCTGTATGATCGCGGACAAGAGCCCTGTCCCACCTGTGAATGTGAGTAGTGAGACAGACCTGTGTAAGCATGTTGAAACATAGTGTCCTCGAGAAGCAGACTTGAACAATATAGAATTTCTTATCTGTTTGATTTATATTCAGGGTATCCGCGGGGTCCGATATTTCAAGTTGATAAATGCAAATGATAAAAGATTAATTGAGAATGATGTTATATATCTTTCACTCTTGCTTAATTATGTATTTTTGACTGGTAATGACATTCTGTATTGCCTTATAATGAACCATACTCACAAATTACCCTAGAGAACAGTTTTAAAGTGATTTATTATCTTGGTCTGGTACAGAGCGGTGTTAAACAAAGTCTCTTCCATTTAGATTTTGATTATTTGTAGTAACAAGGTCAGATTTTTTTAGTCTATTGCACGAAATTATACTGTTTTTTATGATACAATGCCGACCCCCTATTACAAAATGGATCCAATTGTGTTTTAACAATTATTTATCCTGCAAGAACAACTTATTTTGTAAAAGTTAAAACCCTATGGCATTCTGGGTTATTATCAGATAGTAAAAAGTCCTCATACACCAAATGAATATCCCAATCCAGATCGATACTGATTATATGGTATTGGTTAATGTAATCCAATGTCCGGATTGAATTTTTGAAGACTTTTTACTAGTTGATTTTTTATAATTATATGTACGTCATTAAAATCTATTTTTTTCCTTTTTATAACATCAACATGAATAAAGTGAATAGAAGGAAGAAACCATCGCTTTCAAGTTTGGTCCTATATTTTCACAAAGTCACACCATTTGAAATCGGTATTCAATGAATCCCACAACCTGACAGAAACACATTTCTGTTTTGAAGTGGTCCTTTAGAATAATGTCCGGAAATTATATTGTGTCCTATTGCCTTCATCCATTGACACAAAAGAGCATACGTTCTCACCACATTCGGGTAAGACTCCTTGTTTGGCCTTCCTCAAAAAACAATATTTTGGATATTATTAACTCAGAAAGTCAACCAGGTGTAACTTGTCACTCATTTGTTTTGTAGTTTCTTTCAGGATAAACAGTTGCATGCACTAGTTTGGACCCATTGATTGGTTTGAGGGGAAAACGTGTATTTTTCAGTATCTTCATGGGTATTGGTTCATATCTGGCATCTGAAAGTATCGAGATTGGTATCTGACATGGTATGTTGCAGGTTTAGCCCTATTCTACCTTCATATCCTGAGTGGAAACAAAAGAGAAGTTTACCATCCCCTCTCCATTAGATGCATGCCAGTGACATAAGGGTTAGATTCAATTCCAGCATTCATTTATAAAATATCAAGTTGAACTGAAAAGGAAAATAATTTAAAAACTTTGTGTATCTCATTTTAATTGAGGGGCTACCTCAAGTCATTTTGGTCGAGCTAATGTCTCCATGCAGGACCGCACACAAGGAGCTCCACAAAACAGTTCTTTGTAGGCGCTCTGTGATGTGAATCTACTTTGGGGGCATAATTTAATATCTCATATAGTCTGGACTCAACGACTCATCTGCTGCCAGTATGTGAAAGATTTAATATCCTTAGCACGGTGAACATGCAGCAAGCAGGCTAGTAACAACACATTTTCTGCTGGGTTAAATGAGTTTCAGACCAAGATAAATGTTAAAAAGTTGACATGTGATAGACTTTTGCAGTTAAATAGCTGCTGTGGGATGTCTGTGTTGGTGGTACTGGCCGGTTACAGGAAGTCTCGGTGGTTTGCAATGATTGGAATTAAGCTACAGGCCAGACTTTCACTGAACTCATGTCGCGGAGCAGCTAAAGTGCTCAAAGTTGAGATTTTTTTTTTTGAAACAATCAATATCCTACGATAGACACAGACAATATCTTCGGCACCTTTTAGTCTATATTTTTATTTATTTTTTATTTTTTTTTACAAACAATGCTTTCTATATAGTGGGAATAATTACAGTTGGCTGCTCTTACATTCATCTGGTCCATCTGGAAGACAGGGAGGGAATTTCAAGTCAAATAGGAAGGAAATATAAATCCACTGAGGGTCAAGCTAAAGAGCATAGAAATAAATTACCCAATTACCAAATTAAACCAATAATCCTTTCTCTTAGTGGCTGAGTTATAATGTTATTCGGTGTTTAGTGAGGTTGCTACTTAAACTCCAGTGATGGTTTGCTTCCAAAGTGCTCTGGTCTCTGTCTTGGACCAAACACTGACACCAGCTTGGGCGTTAGGCCACGAAGTATTAACATTATGCTTTGCCAGAGAAATAGTTCTGGCTCAAGCTGCCGTTCGGTTTGGACTGGATGATTTGATTAGAACCTATCTTAGCCTGGATGAGGTTACATTAATAACATGTTAATTGATTGTGCACAAGTAATTGCTAATTTTCTATAATCATTTTGGATTAAAAAGACAAAAAATAAGTCTTTTATTTTTTTCACTATAACAGAGTGCCTCAGACTTCTTTTTTCTCTTTTTGACATTCTAAATCTGCTTAGATTGCCCCATCTTTGAAGAGCACCTGTTATTTATGCCTTCTACTACTCGTACCCTCTGCAGCACTCACCTTCCTTTTGAAAAAGATTGTAAAATATTTAATAAAAGCTTGGTTCGAATGATTTTCTTCTTGAATTGAGTATGTTTTTACGGAGCCCCTCTGATGACATGGTAAAAAAAAATTATATTGTGGCCACAAAATAACTAATTTGTTCCCTCAAAATACTAATTTGTTCCCTCAAAATACTAATTTGTTCCCTCAAAATACTAATTTGTTCCCTCAAATTACTAATTTGTTCCCTCAAATTACTAATTTGTTCTCTCAAATTACTAATTTGTTCCCTCAAAATACAAATTTGTTCCCTCAAATTACTAATTTATTCCCTCAAATTACTAATATATAGCTACAACTTCTTTAAGGGTTAAGGTAGAGGCATTAGTAGGGCTAAAGCTACACCATGGACAGGGACAGTATAATAGAATTTTATTTTAGGCTGGGAATGAGCTACAAATACATTTTGAAGAGCCTGGCATTGCAAGGAACCATCATTACTGAGAGACATTTAAACAGAATATTGAGAGCCAGGTTGCTTTACAGGCAGGTATAACTTGGACGCCGGCATTGATTTTATTGTTGACCAACTGCAAGGCCCTGGAAAGGATCACGGCTACCGGTGGATGTTTACAAAGTGTAAACAACACGGTATTTCTATAAAAAAAGAAGACGTCAGGATCCTCCTCTCTTTACTGGACCCCATCGGTTCCCAAGCTCGCAAGTGCAGACTTCTCCGAAGGAGGCAATATTTTGCTCAGGGACCGAACTTTGTGTGGCACATAGATTCATATGACAAGCTGAAGCCATATGGGATATGTATTAATGGTTGCATCGACGGGTTCTCACGCAACATTATTTGGCTGCGGGCCGCCTTCACAAACAGCAACCCTAAAGTTATCGGGGCGTACTTTGTAGAAGCAGTGGAGCGCCGTGGGGGCTGCCCCAGGCTTGTACGAACTGACATGGGCACTGAGAACGTGGTGGTTAGAGACATTCAGCGGTATTTACGGAGAAATGACATGGATGACAGAGCAGCGGAGAGAAGCTACATCACAGGAGCAAGTACTGCGAACCAGAGAATTGAGAGCTGTTTTATATATTATTATATATATTATATTATATATATATATATATATATATATATTATATATTAGCACAACAAAACAACATGTAGTAACGTTAACTTAACAGGATGAGGATAACAAGAGACGTCAGCAAACATAGGCCTAAATAAATAACTGCCTTATCATGGGAAAACAAGATATTAACTAGGGATGTAAATCGGTGACCGTTTAACCGGTGGTTGACCGTCACAGCGTTAACCGGTCAAAGCTGTCGGTTAAAAAAGAGAAAAGGGGGAGAGGGGAGGTCTCTTCATAACGCTATTTTAAGCCCTATTTGCACAATGTGACGAGCGGGTCCCTATCTAGCTGTGTGCGCCAATGTAACAGTAAACTCTGGGCCGACTCTCACGCCGTACGCGCCACATATGCACGCACACATGTACACGCACACACACACACACACACATTTCCCCCCCCTCCATTGACACGTAACATCCACACGCATCATCTCTCCCCTCTGTTACCGCCTGCTAGTTGCACACTGGTGCGGGTCAGAACTACATTGGAGCTTATATTTACACACACATACATACATGTATTGCACACACACACATACATATACACACACACACACAGACATACATGTATTGTACACACACACATACCGGTCTGTCGCGCTCCTCTGTGTCACGGAGCCCAAAGCATTCTTGCAAATACACGGCTCCAGTCAAACCACATGGACCATGTTTGTGCTGCTGGTCCTTGGCATCAGCTCCACACTGATCACTTTTAAACTTTAGCGGAGACCTGCGAGACGCGGCTCGTCACTCGCTGCCCTGACCATGTGGACGAGCTGTCTTTTGCTTAAAAATGCTTTAAGCCGCAGCACAGAAGAATGGGAAGATTAAAACAGCAGTTCTCTGTGCGCAAAGGTGCCGAAGCTGTTGCGGGTTTGGGCGCCGCTGTCTCGGCTCTGATCCCGTAGAACGCTCAGCTGCACTTATGAAAAGTATGCGGCTCGAAATGGCTGTTATTTCAAAGAACGTGGACTATTTTAAACTACGCGGTTAACCGGTTTCAACCGGTTAATGAGGCTCGGTGGTCGGTCATGAAAATTCATAGTTTTTTACATCCCTAATATTAACAATAACAGAATATCATAAGACACTCGCCATAAGTACGTAATGCAGGTTGTACAGAAGGTATGCTAGAGTTGCTTTGTGCCCACGTTTGTTGCTAATTTGTGGGAACAAATTAGTAATTTGAGGGAACAAATTAGTAATTTGAGGGAACAAATTAGTAATTTGAGGGAACAAATTAGTATTTTGAGGGAACAAATTAGTTATTTTGTGGTCACAATATATTTTTTTTTTTACCATGTCATCAGAGGGGCTCCGTATGTTTTGTCAATGAGACAACACAATCTGTCTTTTTTCAAATGCCTAGGAGCGAAGTCTAGGATAGAATTAGTAAAATATATGACATAATAGAGGCATTATATAATAGACGTGATGGCTGTAGATATAGAAACAGCTCTGGTTTTTTCACGTTTTATATTTGCCCTTTCCTTGTATAATTATAGTATAATATCCTCTGCTGCACATTTAAATCACTCAGGGGCATCCAGACAGGAGATGCCGTCATGAGAGCTCACATTACTTCCACAGATCAAGATAAGGTTCATCCATTACGGTTTGCAAGTTCAGGTGCTTCAACATCTCGTGGCCTGCAGCTGGAGCCGTGAAACAAGGGCAGGGCAGAAAGGTGTGAGGTGTGATGTGTCCCAACTTGCATTCTGGGATCACATTATTGACTTCTCCTCAAGCGCTTGATATGACACTCTGGCGGTGACTTCAGATTTCCTTTACGCAACACACAACTCTCACTGACTGAACAGCGATGAGTAGTAGGATATTGTCTGGGTCAATTTTGTCGAAATATCTGTGGGAAATAGATACACTTCCGATGCCATGAGTAATCTTTTCCATATTGGGTGAGACTGGAACAGGTAGGGCTGCCCTTGTAATTCCTTATATTGTATTACTTTTGTGTGAGGTCTGACATAGGCATTTTAATTCTCCATGTTTCCTTTGGCTTATGTTTAGACCTCAAGCTGCCAAAATTATTCTTGCTTTTCTGTGGTTTTTGTGGCTAAGTAGCTCTGTTTTCCTTCTTTCTTTTGATTCTGGCTATTAAACCAAAATTTATTTTCATTTAATAGGCCTGTATTGTAAGTCTGTTCCTTCTTAACTTTCTCGTGCTTTCATTACAGCAGTCTTGATTTGAAGCCAAGACTTACAATGAATTTATATCTGTCTTTCAGGAACCAGCCATCATCACCTGTCCTTTCCACTAGCCCAGGACAGAGCCAGCATACACCCCTCAGTGACAGCGAGAGCTCGGGGAAACCAAGTCGATACGCAAGAACGGACGGGCGTTTCTTGGTCCACGCTGGTAGACCAAACAGCAAGGCCGCAACTCTGTGTGGTGGCACGTCTCTCGCAGATGACGCCAAATTCCAAGGCATCCTCGCCAAATCAAAGAGCATCGGCTGCTTAGACAACAGGTTGTCCATCTATAAAGCTCCAGTACTGACCAAGGCAAACCAGGAAGTTGTAAGCAATGACAAAGCTGTAGATCTTGCTTCGGGAGATCGACCAAATGCCACAGCTCTGAGTTTGAGCAGTGTCTCTTTGGGATCCGGCCAAGCCCACAAGCGCACACTTTCTCTGGGTTCATCGTTAGCAGGTGCACCCCCTACCGCTATTCGCAAAAAGATCTCAGAATGGGAGTGCCGGCATTTTTCTTTGCCTAAAATGAGCTTATGCCTGGAGAAGAGGACAGTAGGGGAGTGTGTGGGGGGCAGCGAGGGTTGTCCCAGTCTCCTCTCCTCCCCCTGCAGTGAGAAAACATTTGACTTTAAGGGTGTTCGCAGGATGAGCACTGCTTATTCGGAATGTTCTTACACAGAAACGGAGGACGAGCGAGTTGCGGAGAAAGATGGTACGGGACGTTTTCAGAAAAGACTGGGCAAAACGGATTCTCCCTTTGCACGGTCCTCGTCGGGTCGGAAGGAGACGTCAGCAGTGCTCAATAGGATACAGAAAATCGAGCAGGCCTTGAAGGATAGTCCTAGCACCACAACCCCTCCACGCTATCTGAATAACTGCTATGGCAATGACAAGACAAAGCAGAGGTCTTTTGTAATAGGAGAGGACTTGGATAGTGCGTGCGCCAGTAAACGCAGCAGTATATGCTCCGTCACAAATGAACCCGATGTCGTTTTAGTGTCGGACAAACTCTCAAAACTCAGGCAAAGGTTTAGCATGAGCTCAACCAGGTCTGAGAGCCCTGAGCCCACTCTTCACACAACTCCCATAGGCTCCCCAGTCAACCCCCTACCCAAACCCAAACGCACTTTTGAGTATGACGCTAAACGAGACCAGAAAGGCCAGCCGCAGGCCAACGGGCTACCCCCAGACCAGGCCATGGAGGCGCCCCCACCCCTGCCCTCCACTCCTGCTCCCAACTCCATCATGAAGAGCAAGACGGAGGGGAACACCAGGCTCCAGGACAGGTGGGTCAAACAATGATAGAGCTTTTGTACTTCACTCTAGCATTTCAATTTGGAGAGACTACAAGAGACAATATGTATTAAAAGATGTATTCATTGCACGTTTGTTTGTAGTTGATTAGTTTGGTGTATAGGCCTTGGCTGTGGCCTTGCTCTGTGAGGCTCAAAGCTTGAGTGCAGATTATTGTCCCCCTTGGTTGGGGTCTAGAGCATCGGATCTGACGCCTGCGCACATGTTTTATAAATGTTCTATTTTCTCATGAACGGCAAAACGTAGCGACTTACTTTTTTTTTCTCCGTGAAGTACACATTTCAGGCATTACAGCGCTAGTTTTGTTTTGTCTGTGTGACTTTTGGGGGATTTTCTACGTGTGTTTGAAAGTCGGTGTCCAATCGGATCTTCGAGCGGTCTCCCGTGAGGTAAAACAGCCAAAACAGTAAAGTTATTTTGCTTACACGCTGACACAGGGACTCCCAAAGATTGTCAGAGAGTAGGATGATCCACTCTCCTGTGTGTATGTATTGTCCCATAGTTGAAATTACAGCTGCGATTGCAATTACTGATGCGTAAAAGACGCATTATTTTAGCGGAATGTTACGAAAATGCGTCCCCGACACAGCTAATGTAGCTTTTGATCACTGATCTACGTGATCTACGAGTGATGTGTGTGTTCAGAGTCTGGGCTTGAAAGTGCATTACACAAAGATAGGAGGAGACGCAGATGCAGCGCTCACAAGAGCCAGCACCTGGCTGAAGAGTGCGCATTATTGATGTAATTATATTATATATTTATTCAGTGGCGGCTGGTGGAATTTTCTACTGGGGGGCTATGAATATGATGACTAGATATATACCAGCAGTAAGTAAGTTTACACTGACTGTTGTGACTGAAGCCTCACACGAGAATCAACAAGGTCACATGATCAGGCCTGTAGCTTTCATCCAGCTGGGATGAAATATTTATCTTCCCAAACATAGCTAATTTGAGGGCATTTTGTATAGTGGATACCAGTCTGCTCATGCTGTGAAGTGCTAAAAAGTGCTTCAGATCAGTCATACCTGTCTTGATCCATGCTGGGTCAGATCCTGATGTTTGAAACAAGAGGCATGGAAAGCAAAATAAAGCATTGGCCTCGCTACATGCTGCTAGCCAAGATTTGGCGCAGAACCAGGTCCTGGAAAAAGTACGAGTGTACCGTCTCCCCCTGTCGCTGGACTGCTGACTAATGGTAATATTTGGCTGATCAGGTCCAAGCTCTTTAACCTCAACCTTCTCCTGGTATGATCTTCTCTCAAACGGTATTGTTTTGAGTGATCTAACTGAATTATTCTTTTTCTCGTTCTCCATTTTGCGTCTCTTTACGTTCGTCTCAAATTCCCACAGCTTGACCTGTCAATCACTGTAAACGGACGTCACAGACAGTGACAGTACAGGTCGCGGGCGACCCCGCCCCCTCAGGGCGCACTTCTCTTGCGCCCCCAAATCGTCTTATCTCTTGCATTGAAGAGGAGCTACTGCGCATGTACAACTTTTAACGAGAGTCCATAGACGGCTCAGGGCGCAATCTTTTGCGCCCTGAGGCGGAAATACGTCCTCAGTCCGACACAGACAACGCTGATGAGCTTAATCAATCCAACTCAGCATAAACTATAAAGTATTTCTTCCACATCTGAAATAAAACACACATAAATTTCGAAATATTTTAATGTTATTATTTTTTTTTACGTTTTATTCAAGGTAACATGGCAAGTTGTGAGTGGTGGGGCGGCGCCCTAGCGCCCTCTATTGGCCGGCCGCCACTGTATTTATTATTGACATCGATAAATACATTATAATGATATGATGTATATGAATATAAGATGTTGTTTTTCTTTCTTTGTTTTCTTAGTTTTTTTGTTTTACATATCTTACAGCTGTGATACTGAAGCAATATATAGACATAGACAAACTGCTTCAGGAAGGGCATCAGGAGTACAGCGTTTTTTTCACTTGTAGTGGAATTTTGTAAAAATTATAATAGTCACAGGTTCAATTTTTTTCCCCATCAACCCCAAGACCCTAAATAACATTTCTATACAGTGTAAAACGTTAGCAATAGCATTTCATTGTGTTTTTCAAAACATTTTGGTAAAATTGAATTTCCGTTTCATTTTTTTCTTTGTCTTCATGATTCCATATTTTTTATATAATTCATATGACAGCTGTACACTATGAATATTATAAATCCACAGGTTGTACTGAAAAAAACAAAGTTTACTGCTTGACTCTGCATCACAAGATGACTATTTTATGAGCAATTATACACAAAGAAAACCAGGCGAGGAAAGTTCCCCAAAATGAGCTTAGACCTTGAAGGCCCTTGCCCTGTTTCAACCCTTAATGGTGGAAACAGGGCAAGGTGGCTGTGAGCATGCGATGAAATCCTGAGGCGGAGGCAGGGAGGAGCTGGTTGCGGCTTGAAAGGGTGCTTGGTATGCGGTGTCCAGCTTTTCAGCGCTGGCTTGATTGGCACAGCTGACCGGGGAGTTGACAAAGCTGATGTGATAGGCTGAGGAAGGAAGGGGCCAGCCTGCGATGACGTGCGTGGGTAGTCTACCAGTCTGAACTTCCGCTTAAGCTGCATTTGTACACCAATAGGGCTGGCTCTGATTCGATTTTTATGAACAGAATATTCAATCAGATTTATTTTTTATCACCCTAAATCATAACAATAGTCGTCTCGGAGGATTCCTTAAAAATAGAGCAGATAATTAATCAGTTTGAACACAAAAAATGCTATAATAACAAACACATACTTTACACTATGATCCAAAGGGGGTGGTTGACCAATGTCCAAATGCTTATAAATGTCCTTAAATGTCATTAAATTACAATCACATTTACAATAAAACGTGAGGATATATATAAAGTTGACTCTTGGTGCCTGTCCTTCTGTTTTTTCATCAAAATTAGAGAGGGAATCTTTCCTTTTCTGTTACTGCCACATGGTTGGTGTCTTTCGTGGTCTATAATTGCGTTCTACCAAACGTGAGATTCTTATGTGCTGATTTTTGGCACAGCTCTAGTTGAGTCAAATACCGACACTATTCAACATTGGCACAATAAAGTTTACCTTAGCTATGACTTTAAAACATTGATCATCCATTCGAGAATAACTTATAACCCTGAATTGTACTTTGTCGATGTGTTGTGTCTGTCTATATGTTGAAAAGGGTGGAGCCGCAACTAAATGTTATGTTTTAGAAAATGGGACAAAAATCCCTAAAACATTTTGCTCCTCTGTGTTTAAAATTCCTGTGGCACAAAAAATCTCAGTCCAAGCCTGAAAACCACAGCTGTCGACAGCATGACACAACATCACTGTGTTCCTCAGTCTTGCCTTTGGGTTTGAACCTTCAAAATATCCTTATGAGGCGACGCTTCCAGTCCACGGCCTCTAACAGTTTGTAGTATTTGTTCGTCTTCATTTTCTCACCTCAGGGCATAAGCACAACGAGTTCTGCAAATAATCCCATTTATAATAGTGATCTTGATTATCATTTCACTATTCAAAAACAAAAACATGAAATAACTGAAAAGAACATCTATTCTGGGTATGTGCTTGTTCTATCCTGCAAAACACGGAGCTAAGGCATCTTTTGAATCTGTATGTATACTATATTACGTGGATGGATGTTTACATAGACAGTCAGATTAGTCAGACATTGTTCTAAATAAATGCACTTTTGACCTAACATCACTATTATTTATGTCCACTAAAATGGCCAAATAAAAAAAAATCTTGAAGATCAATGCACTTCTCGTCACAAATTCTAACTTAGCTTTGTGCCTTGTCTTGGGTTCCAGGGAGTCGTGTGAGTCCGAGGATGCCGCCAGCCTGCCCTCTTTGCATCCATCGTCTCCCACAGAAAACGGCACATCCACATCAGAGACGAGGACCAAACCAAACGCTAAAAGCACTTTTGAGGAGAACACATATGAAGACATTGTGGGTAAGGGCAAAATCTGCATTCAATTCCTCATGCCTTGAATCTAGGACTGGGTATCTCTCGGAGCCTGCTGATAGAATACAGAATATTACTACATAAAAATGTTGTACAGTATCTGATTTTAAGATGAATACAAAAAAAGGTCTTTACATGACATCAAAAGAAAATGCATTGTATGGAAAGAAAACATGGAATCATACACAGATAAAATGTAAATAATCACAGTAGAGTCCATTTTTCTGGGCACACATCTCCTACTCTTGTGTTTTAACAGTCTCGACTTCACTATGTTGAGGTGCGAAATTCCTTTCTACTAAATGGCCCTTTACCATCTGGCGGAACCATTGGCTTTGTGCCCTAGTGAATACTTACTTCAAGAAAATCAACAAGCTCATCTAGGATTGTGTGGTTGGCAATAAGATGTCATTGTTTTAACACCGTTTTACTTTTTATTTAATGTAGCTTTAAATAACTCACTTTGCTTTAATCAGGGAGGTCATTCTGTGTTTTTATGGCTCATTTAATTAGTTTGTAAACAGTGTATTGTGTGTACCCATAACCCGTGCTACTATGTGATTTGCGTCTCAGTGATGAGGGGTGGTACACAGGCTAAATATATCTACAGTTTTTACAAGCCACTGACTCTATCTGCAAGAACGTGGACTATAGTTTCGCTACATCTTCCCGGTTGTATTATGTTTTGTTTTCTCTCTCACACACACACAACATATCTTTTGTTTGCTCATGCCAACCTGATATGGGTGATTTGGTATGTGTAATTCTAGGTTGCGGAAATGACACTGTAACATTTATGTTCAGTGTAATTCAATTTACCTGTCGTAATAGTTTTGAAATAGAGGGTTTTTGCAGCTTGTTTATGATTCACTACCAATGTATAAAAGCTTCACTAATAGCTATGACATGTTGACTTATTCAGCCAATACCAATGACGACAGCCTCTTTAAGTCTTGTTTCCCAAAAGGGTCATTGGAAAACTTTAAAGCGAACTTCCATTAGTCACTTACCGATACAGAAGGCACTAATCTTATGCTCTTATACACACAAGCTTGCTGGCACTCAGGTCAGTAAGGTTAAGTGTACCAGCGCCACTCAGCAAGAAACAATACAGCATTATTGAACAAAATTAGCCCTGCATTCCTGATTTGTCACAAAACCGATCATCAGTGGCCTAAATGTAGGTTCTTTCATCCCTCTAAACTAAAAGTGTAATCTGATATGGTTTTTGTTGTAGTTTTCTTCTGTAGCTTGTTCTGTTCCCAGGAATTGCATAGTGTCAACAGAAACCTACAATCCCTGTGTGCGCTGGAGGTGCGTCCCCTCCCAGTGTGTCTGCGAGTGTGTTAAAGACCTGCTTGTAATCAGAAGTGCAGATTAGTACCCTCCAGTGCATCAGCAGACATACGCAGACATATCATTTTCCCAGCTGGCCCTCATTACGTAAGTGCTGAGTTTTAATGAAGTAGTCGTGCAACATGGGGCCTGACTAAGCTCTCTCATTCACCTCCTCGCCGTGTTTCACGATGTTAACGTCATTGCTTTTGTTTGCTCTTGGCATCAGTTCAAATTTAGGGTATGCGGGAAATTTTGGATTTGTGTTTTTAATAATTAACTGCAATGGCTCACAAGACATATTTGGGGTTAATGATTTAACTTTTAGGACAACAATGTTTGGCCTCCTGTCCGTGTAGCCAGAGACCTCCCTTTCCCTCATGCATTTCAACACCATCTGGCTCTGTTTTTGTTCTTCAATGTGGTTGCTTCACTTTCTCACAACCTTCTTCAGACCCTGCCAAAAAGCTATTCTCAGAGCATATGTCTGAATAGACATGGGCAACAGCGTTTTCTCTATTTGACTTGGCTCGGTGCCCAGTGACATCAGTGGGAGCTGTGTACTGTTATGGTGCGATTCTTCCCATTTTCCTATCACATCAGACGGAGATGGAAGTGTTTAGGAAACACAGTAGCACTTTGTCTGGTCTGGAGACACTACTTTGTCACTGTTCAATTTTAGTTTGATCTGAATGGTTTCTTATGTTGTCGTAAATTCCAATCTGTTTTATATTGATAACGCTGCATGACTGGTGAATTCTGTATCTTCTGTATTTTGTCTTGTTTGCTTAGTTAGTGATTACTGCTTTAAAGTTGTAAAATATGACCTTGTGTTGACAATGACATACTTGCAGTGTCACATGCCTGGGCAGTGACTCATCAGTGCTGTGTCCAGTTGTGTCATGTGCTGCTTTGTGCCAGTGGTAATTACTCTGAAAAATAATAATTGCTTTACTTGAATTCGACTCAAACTCTTCCAGGGTTATTGCCTTTAATTCCTCAACGCCCCGACTGCCCCCACACTGACCCCTGTGACCCCAGACGTCACTGAGTTCGTTACAAAAACAACCTTTTCCTGTGGACTGAGGGTGTATTATTAGTTGTCTGTCTGAGCCCCTCTGCATCTGGCCTCTCTTCACAGAAAAGGAGAATCCGTATGAGGACGTTGACCTCAAGCGCCGGAGTCTCGGACGAAAGTCAGCTTTCACAGAGAGCAGCCGGTCGTGGAGCGCTGCAGACCGGAAGCTCAACTCTCCTCCTCAGGTGACACATGCCTCTTCTCTCAAGGAATTTGGTTTGTCTGAAGTAGGAAGCATATTGTCCCTATGAGAACCCCCCAAGAATGTACACTGTGTTCCTTTTTAGTTGAGCTATGAACTAAACAGTGTATGGACTGAGAGAATAATTATGTGTGAAGCATCTTTGGTACCATGAAAAGAGAAATATATGTGTGTATGTGCATGAATGTGAACATGTATATCATTTTTTTTATAATTTAGTTGTATTTTTTTAAATAGTTTATCATTTATTTATTTATTTTATTTTATTCTATATTGTACTTTATTATTATTATCTTCCTTATTTTTTCTGTCATTCTCCTGTTTTGCATAATTTTCTAGAACTTATTGTTGAACTCCACTACCATGAATCTAACTATCATTATATGGTTCATTTTATGTATCCTTGTAACCTTGACAACATACTTTCAGAGCTGCGTTTCCACAGATCTGACTTGTAACTGGGATCGTTCGCACTATCCTCTAGTTTTCATTGATTAGTTTAAAGCCCTTACTTATGGATATTCTAGAAGCTTCACCAGAAACGTGAAATATTACACCTCTCATTCTGTTTCCAGCCTTCATATTTGTCCTATGCTGCTTTGTTGCATCAGTGGAAAATCTAATATGTTTATACCTTTTGAGAAGTCCCAGATTGGCCAGAGTGCATTGTTGGCTCTTGCACACTGACACTAAGATCTCTCCTTGTGAAAACAGGATCTGATTTTCCATTATTAATGATAAAAAACAGCCTCTGACTTACTGGCTATCATCTCAAACATTAACCAAACTGCATTTTTGTTTGGTTTGTTGATAGTTACCATCCAAACCCAGTAGCCAGTCTCTGCGTTCAACTACGTCCAGCGACAGAAAGAACCACCGTACGGCCCAGTTGTCCAAACGGCACAGCCACAATGACATGCTGCTCCTGCCCCCGTCGCCCTGTGGATTGATGGACAACAATTTCTGTGGCACCACTGACACTTTGGGCTCACACAGGCACTGGAGGATCCCCAAGGTGAATATAAAGGAGATATTATATGCATTATACGTGTTCATCTTGGCCTTTAAAAGTGATTTTGAGTGAATATTTCCTTTGGAAGATCATGTTTGTGAACGTTTGAATGTCAGTGACTTGGTTAGTTTGTGTATTATTGCTTCAGTCATTATCCAACATATTGTACTCTTATACCCGCCTAAAAGGTTTAGGCTGAAGTTTGACTCATATATGACCGAACTCTACTTTCAAAATCAAGGTTAAAGGTGATGTCAGAAACTTCAATTGTATTTTATTTGTAGAAGAATGCATATTTTGACCATGTAGTTTCTAATAAAGTAAGTTATTTTTTTTTATTTTTTTAAACAGTATATTTAATGCAGTGTCTCCCCTTTGCATAACCACCACCAATAATATTTGCTGGAGGAGAATATTTGGGCCAATAGTAATCTGCCAATAGCAAGCGGCCAATAACAAGCGGCCAAAAGCAAGCGGCCAATAGCAAGCGGCCAATAGCAAGTGGCCAATAGCAAGCGGCCAGTAGCAAGCGGCCTCGTCTGTCTGGTTTACAGCTTTGGATGAAATATCTCTCCACTTTTCAAAAAGTAATTGACATTCTCACACTCAGATCATCAAGACCAAAAAACTTAAAAATAACACAGTACACATACATCTATGAAGTAGAATATATATGGATAAACGAGTATAATGGATAAAGAAAGGATCTGAGTATTGAAACACCTCCATCTGGTGGCGGAAGTGACAACTACATTTCTATTATTGTCAAATCATCAAACATGGTATCCGTTATTGTTTTTTGGACTCGGTACTGCTCTGTCCATAATGTAATATTCTAAGGATCTGTCATTGCAAACCCAAATTAAGAATAGAGGACATTATTTAGCGCTAAAATTCTTTTTTTCTTTATTGTAAAGTGTATTTGATCTTTGGAAACATGTGACCTAAGCTCTAATGTACATAATGACCAAAGAAATATTCTCCTATTTAGGCTAAAAACAACTCCAGGTCTCTCTTTGTCAAGGAAACATGTTAAAACGTGTTAAAATATGGTTAAAAACTCCATAAAGAAGATTGTGTTCATGTGTTCTCACGGTGAACAGGTTGCACTAGGAGCATGCGTAAAACAGAGACCCTCCCAAAGCATCCAGGTCTATTGTATTTTTGTATATGTATTTGTTTGGTGCTGTACAGACATTTCCCCCCTTCCTTCCTAGCTTTTTGTAACTCAAAATAACCTCATCATTAAAAGAAATATTGTGTTTTGTTCTGGCCTTCTTTCCTTCTCTCTCTCTCTTTTCTAAATTAACAGTTTACATGAAAATTATAAGTGGCACTTGTGTAGCGCGGTTCGTTCCAGCACTTTTTTATCCAAACCCTTTTATCATCTCTATCCTGCAGGAGTAAATTATGTACATTTGGTCCTGTAATTTCTGACAACCGCTAACAAATTTGCGTGTTATTCTGTTTTGTCTAAAGCTGGTCCAAAGAATAAATGCCATTTACTGCACTAAACGTGGGAAGAAGAGGCTGAAAAAGTTGTCCATGACCAATGTTGAGACAGCTTCTTTACGAGGTTAGGACCGAGACAAATAAAGGATTCTTTTGACACAAGTGAAATTCCTTCTTGACTTGTGAAAACGAACTTGTGTCTTGTCCAAATACAGATGACAACAGCGAAAGTGAGAGCGACTCGGATGACAGGTTTAAAGGTGAGTGATGCAGGGATATTTGAACTTGTATATGTTGATTTTTGCATCATTTCCTCACACTACAGGGGTCTATTGTAACACAGAATAACAAAAATGAAAGTACTGAACGTAAATATTGTCAGTATCTGTTCACACATTTTGCAGTGGATTTGTACCTTTTATATTTGAGAGTTGGTGTCTGCTTTCAGCACTCTACTTTTCCTTATAGTTAGAAAATGCCTGAAGCCAAAACGACAATTTTTGATGCTTTTAAAATACTCTTTTCGAAAGGGCGCCTCAATACCATTACTATGTCATTCATAGAACTTGTTTCACTTGTTTTTTGTATTGATACTTTTAACAAAGATAAGTTCTCCATCCCTGTCAAACTGTACCTACATTTTTAGCAGCCTAATAGGCAATATGCAGAATAATATTTTACCATTTATGCAATGTCCCCATCCACATGTCTTTGCTACTGTACTCAATGCAGTATACTACATTGTACTGTACATATTTTGCTATTGTTAATAATCTGGTCTGTCTTCAGCTCACACGCAGAGACTTCTTAAGCTGCAGTCCATCCTCCGTAGGGCCCCGAGTTACCGGACCCTGGAGCTGCAGCTCATCGAGTGGCAGGAGAGGGAACTGTTTGAGTATTTTGTGGTAATTTCCCTGAAGAAGAAACCTACCAAGAACTCATACACACCGGAAGTCACCTATCAATTTCCAAAGGTGTGTGCTACATCAAACTACCGCAATATTCTCTTCATAAGTAATGTTTCAAAGCCAGTAAAACTAGAATTAAACCAAGTGTATACTACGAAGAGAACTTAACTTGGAAAAGGTCTTAACATGGACTCACCTAAACCAGAGAACCTACAGTCTGCTTACCTCCTTAAAAAGTGTGTACCACAGTTTAAGAAGCTCTGCCACGTGTCATTATACTGTGATATGCGTTTTTATTTCAAAGACCAGTGGGCATATGTCAGTAAAGAGGAAGACATGACTTTTAGTAATGGCACCTCAAATTCTGGAGAATGACATGCACAAATGACTCGGTTATTGTTTGTTTGTTGTTTTACAGATTTTAGCAGATTTTGTGAGTAATTTGACTTTACTAACCCGACTCAGCCTCCACCTCATTTAATCAAACATTATCTCCAGCAATATAGACATGTGATTCCTCTTTTTAAAACAGAAATGCCCTGTTCTTATTTATCTTCTTTTACCTTTTCCGTAAAAAAAGTGTGCAACAAAAGTGAGCGCGCCGTCATCCAGCTCTGCTAATAGACAGATGCCATAGAGCAATGAAAAACTTCAGTAGAGTTCAGTAGTGAGAAAAGAGGCAATCATCATTCAGGCAACTTCAGCTCAAAGACCATACATTGGCTTTTCAGAACCTCGGAAAATAAACGTTAGCGGTTAGCATTGTTGGTTCTCATTTTTGGCTAATAATGAAAATAAAGAAGTCATTTCCTAGACATAATCTTATAAAATTTATCCTGGAAAAGACAAAATGTTGCTCTATGTTTTTTCTCTATTTTTGAGGGTTGTGTTTTCCCTCTGCAGGCTTGCATAAACACACAGGCGTCCCTAAGATAGTTATTCAATTACAGCTTGCATTTAGCAATTTAGAGGGTCAGACTTACAATATAATTAAGTTAAATGTTTCTCAGAGAGTTTTTACTGTACTCTGTGTGTTGGGATGATTGCTGGAAGTGGTGTCTTTTGAGGTCAGAGGCTTTCCACCAAGTATACAGCTCTAACTCTTCTTAGACATACTGTTTTAGTTGAATTAGGGGGTTTTTGGACACCCACTGACACTAACATGGCCACTATTAAATCACTGCTGAACTCCTTTTGTTATCATTTTTCAGTCAAGATTAACAGTGTTTTGCGCATAACAAATTAAAGGTCTCGGGCTGTATGTTTATAACCTTGTATGGGAATAATATTAATAATTTCTTTGTCTCGCTGAGGTCTGTAGGGATTGTAGAAACAAGACACTTGAATGAGCCAACTGAGATTCCTCTTGTTCCCCCTTGCAGCTCGAGAGGCCCACCAAGCAGATGAGGGAGGCCGAGCAGAGACTGAAGGCCATTCCTCAGTTTTGTTTTCCTGACGCGAAAGACTGGAGTCCTGTGTCTGAATACACAAGGTAGAGACTGCAGAATTTTCTTTACCAAATACTTTTTCTTCTTAGTGCATCAAATCACCAAATACTCTCTTCTATGTGAAAAAATGAGTTGATTCTTCTTTAAATATTTGATCTTGTTGTGACGCATGGTGGTCAACATGGTGCCTTTACTTTTGATCCCTTACCAAAGAAAAACCTCCAAACACTTGATCCCATAGTGTCCCAGAGACCACCGTGATGAAAGTAAAGTGCCATGCTTACCACTTATACAGCCACATGGTCAAATGTAAAAAAAATATCAACTGATGAAAAGTTGCATAATGCCCCTTTAAACCCGGTTATAGATATTCATTATGCTCTGTCTGTAGTGAGACCTTCTCGTTTATGCTGACGGGGGAAGATGGCAGCAGGAGGTTTGGCTACTGCAGGCGATTACTGGTAATGCACTTCTTTGACAAATTGATTAACTTTACTCATTATATGGTCCACTTCAGGACATTATGCAAATATTTAACCATCCTCTGCCCTGTAAAAAACAAGCTAAAATGTTTTACTCTTTTTAGAATGGGCCCTTAATTGTTGTTTCCTTATGGCTGGCGCTGTCCTGTATGGCTGCGTTTTGTAAGCTCAATTATAACAGCCAACCATCTAAAGCATTTTTGGACAAATTTAATTAATTTTTGAACTAAATTACTATTATCCCTTCCACTATTCCCAGGAAAGCATCAACCATTTGGTCAGCTGCTTGTCTTTTTTATGAGGTGCTTTGAAGCCTGGCTTTACAATTTTCTTGTGGCTACCAACTCTGACCATGTGGGATCTTGTGAAATGTGGTGACTTTATTTTGCCAGCCTTTTTCTCTGCACATGTTTACAGTCTTACAGTGTAATTTCACACAAGGGGGCGTACACTTCTGGCACAAAATCTGTTTTGAAATGCCCACTTTCCCATCATCTTTTTGATTGCCAGATAGGAGCAGGTTTTAATCATAGCTCATCGCCGTAGCTCTCCTCCAATAACTGTGTTTCCTCCCTGTTGTTGTCTGTTCGGCCATTGGCAGCAGCGAGGCATTCCTGAGGACTTGAATCAAGCGGCACATAGTTGATTTAATCATCCATTTGGAAAAGCAGGAGAGAAGATTGTATTCCTAATATGGACAAGTGAATTGGCTGTTCTTGAGTGCTTGTGTTCACTTGTGGCTGTGTGGGTTCGAGTGTCTCTTGTCTGCGTACCACGGTGTGTTTTGGTGAACGTAATGGTCTCAGAGTGAATTGAAGGCAGTGATATGATCAGCAGAGACAGATAAACCACGTCTGTTTTACCCACATCAAAGACTTGCACCTTAGATTACACTCAAGATGCAAACTACTTATCATGCAACCAGTCATTTTGATTTCATCGAGAATTACTCAAAATTCTAATCATTTGTGTCTTTTCTCTCCTCAGCCAAGCGGTAAAGGGCCCCGTCTTCCAGAGGTTTACTGCGTGATAAGCAGACTGGGATGTTTTGACTTGTTCTCCACAGTGAGTAAACACTCTGATGGGCTGCGCTGTAAATCATTCTCAACTCATAGTATAGCTCACAGAGGATGTCCATTTTGTGGGGAAGAAGATAACTTAAACAGAACCATTGACTGCACTTTATAAAGCTACATTATGATATGGTATAGAATATGTATTTGTGTTCTCCTCACTTTCTCACACATACCCCACGTCCTCATTATTCACAGCAATGAGTTGTTTCTTCTAAAAGTAATAACTTGGCTGGAAAATGACACTGAGAACATACTTTTAGGGTGTTAGATCATATCTCTTTTTATGAGTTGCAAAGTAGCCTATTCCAATGTTCCCCTCAGATCCTGGATGAGGTGGAGAGGCGGAGGGGTATCTCTGCTGCCCTGGTCTACCCGTTTATGAGGAGTTTGATGGAGTCGCCCTTCCCTGCACCAGGGAAGCTCATCAAAGTGAAGACCTTTCTGCCTGGAGCAGGAAATGAGGTTAGAGCTGTTGATAGCACTGTTCATATTGCCCTTTGAAGGTTTTAGTTTTACTATTTGATTTTTATGTAGGTCATTGAGTTGAGGCGCCCCACTGATTCCAGACTGGAGCACGTGGACTTCGAGAGTCTGTTCAAGTGTCTGAGCGTACGGCAGGTGATACGAGTCTTTGCATCGCTGCTTCTAGAACGAAGAGTCATCTTTGTAGCCGACAAACTCAGGTAGGTTCTGCTTCTGTTAATGAAGCACTCTGCAGTGTGTCACTATATCAGTTACATGTTCACTGGGTAAGAGCTTTTTTGCAATGCATTTGAGAGCAAATCTGGGCCACACTGCTGAGAGCGGCTGTTGGAGGAGAAGTGGGGCTGATAAGATGTGTATAGTCCCCCGAGAGCAAATGTCCCCGTCTTAACTTGTGGTAACAGCAGAAACTCTCAGCACTGGAGTGGACAGGGAGGCGGCTCATGTGGACATGTAATCTGCATGTATCAGACAGTTTAAACAAACAGTCGCAGGGGGCAGTGACTGTGAGGGAGGAATGCACTTCCGTGTCATGGATTAAAAGTACGCACCATGACATCAGGATATCCAATATTCCCTCTGCAGAAGACATTCATTACAGGGCGTACACTGTCCAACTTTGACATGAACAACTGTCATGACTTTGGCAAAATCAATAGTTTAGTCTGCCAACCCTTTGTGTACAGACTGAGTAATATTTGGAAAAAATATAGTCTTTTAGCTTGAGTTTGAATCCGAGAGGCTCGGGGCTTGTGTGTAGAATGTTATATGGATGTGTGCAGACATGCTGAGCGGCTGTGTTTGGGTGCTCTGGGAAGCTCTGACAGGGCCCCACTGCATCACTAATGACTTCTATGATAAAAGGGCTACTCCCTCTGGAGCTTTGGTACATAATCTCTTCCCAAAATACCTTCACCAGAACATGATGTATGCATTTTTCTCTTGAAATCTGTATCCAACACAAGCAGCGACAGGAAATACCATGAGGTTGATCCATGTGAGGTCTCTTTTTTTAAGTTTTAAAGTTAAATTTTAAACAACCATACAATGCGGTATATGATTTCAGGTGAAAGGCCTAATGACACCTATCCATTATCTTTTGTCAATTTACAACAGTTAAACGCCATTCCTTCAGTTTTGTCAGTGTCAGTTCTGTTTGATCCAGCGCAGTTGCTACATGATTTGTTTATGACAGATTCGACAGTTTTGCACATTCATTTTAATATTATTAATATTTGCAATGTCCATGTAATGCCTTTTTACATCTTGGCCAGGGGACTACAGATGAAAAATAGCCGTCTGGCTAATTCTGGCTTTTTTAACCATGTTTGTTCATGTGTTACATGAAATTGCACTGTCCCCTTTCAAATAAACCAATCTAATCTAATATAATACAAAAAAGGAGAGTAATGTTTGAAACTTGTGTGAGGAAAAGTCGCTGTTTTGTTTGCTGATTTTGTTTTGTGTAAGGCTGTAATCAGGAGGCACACATACGATAGGGAGCTCTCTTTACAATAGATCCATAGATTGCTTTAAAGTAAGCTTTTAAAACTGTTGCAAACATTAGACATATTTTAATCTATTGATTGCAAACTATTTAGTGTGTTTTTACTCTCATATAAACATGAATGTACATCTGGTGACTGCTTGTCTGTTGGCGGTGTTGTGAGTGACGGCTTTTAGCAGGTTTTGCAGATGTATTATGCCCTAAAGTCAGACACAGTTAAATTATTGCTTCAGCTGCTGCTGTTTTTCTAATCACAGCATTTGGGAACATTATGATTTCATTCAGACCTCTGTTCAGCTCAAACGTTTCTGTAACATGCCGTGCACTTCTGGCACGGGGCCAAACCACTTTTAACAACCTGTTTTCCATGTGGTATTTAATTCAGGGTTAGGACAAAATCTGCAATGTAAACAAGAGAAATGTTTTTGTTTTCCGAGGTGTCTCCAATATTGCAGCAGCTGAGTTTTAAATTTGTCTCAAGCTGCCACGAATATTCACCTCCAAGAGCAGATTTATACTGCTGTAGACAGTCCCATACGCAAACCAGTGCTCATTTGCAGTACCTCTCAACACTTGGGATCCAACTACTATTAGTAAAACATGTGCTGAGATTTCTGTTGGGAAGTCATTTTTCACTTGTGTAATAATTGCTGCTGCTCGACCTTGTGTGAAGCCAAAGAGCTTAGAAAGAGAGCCCATGGCTAAAGATTCTTATGGACAGGAAGTCAGGAAAAACTATTTGGGGAATAAGGGTGCAGAAATGGTCTTAAAAATTAATAAATGCAATAGTTTACCATAAAAATTCAATATGTACTCAATCATTACTTTAAGATGGGAAGGCAGTATCGATGCTCCTTCAGATATTTGCAAAATACACACAAAACACTTTATGACTGATGTAAGAATTATTTTGCTTTTGTGCTGAATCTTGTTGTTTTGTGATTGTGCTGTACGTGGTGGAAATGCATGTATTTTCAAATTGATTGTATATATATTATGGAAAAGCCAATTCAATCTTTTTATACGGCCATGAAGTTAGCCTCCACATAGGAAAAGCTGGGCTGCTTTTGGCAAAGTGAAAGTGTGGGAAATTAAAACCATATTTTTACGTACTAAAATGAAACTATTTGAATCAATGCCACTATTCATTCAGCTATCCCAAAGAAACCTGGCGACTGAAAAAAGAAGATGAAAAACTGTTTGGACTGTATCAGAAGAGTTCTTGGAATAACTTCGAGAGACGGAGTGAAATTAAGATATCCGTTCATTGAGTGAGTGAAATGAAATGCGAGCACAGATGAAATTGGTTTGGCCACACTGTACTCACAATCCTGGACCACTAAGACACACACGCTGAAATACTCGCCAGAAGGAGGAGAATGAGGCAGAGATCAGCAGAAGCGAGTGAAGACGATTTGTATGTGACCCAATGCCCAGAAACTTTACTTGCTGCCGAGGTTGCTGGTGTTGGTATATTTTCCTTTATCTTACATTAATTGGTACAACCTTAATTGAAGATTAGTTAATTTTTCAAATTGTGAAGATGGAGAGACCTTTGTTTGTTGGCTGCAAGCATCAGTTAGACCCGCCCCCACAGCTTCATGATTGGATGCAATGAATTAACCCATTAACATTCACTCCTTGAAGAAAGCAATGTATTTATTCATTTTGGATTTTTTTTTTTTTTTTTTTTGAACCCGTGTTTTTGTTAATTATATTTGTTAATTAATAAATGGTTGAGATGCAGTTTGATGGTAAAACTGCCTAGAACAAAGTGAAATGCTCCAAAGAGGTATATTTCAGTAGATATATTGACTCAAAAGGTGATCTATGGTTGAGGAAACCATTAATGGGTTATGAAAGTCCTTGATAGACATCTGAGGCCCTTCACCATTGGTCAAATTATTCTCCTCCAGAAAGTTCTACTGGTGGTGGTTATGCCAAGGGGAGGAAATGTTTAGCTATGTATTATGAAAAGTACTTAGATGATACTACAGGGTCATATGGTCAAAAATACATATTCCCTTCCTAAATACAATTGAAGTTTAAGGATGGTAGATTGTAACTGAATGAATAGGAATAACACATCTCAATGAGCTAACTGATTTATAAGCAAATTAACCTTGGCTATAAATGTTGTAGTGTTTCACATGTTGATTGTGTAAACTTATCCCTATAAAATAAATAAATAAAGAAAAGAAAAGTTGGTCACGCTTCATATTTAGACGAACAAGAAAAACCTCTAATGCAATGTTTTGTATGGCCCTACTAGTTTTGCAGATACCAATTTTTATACAATATAAAAAGATAATTAGCATGCATGTGTAGCTAAAGCAGCAGAAAGCTTATTTTTTAACCAATAAACCCAAAAAATACTCAAGCAATCATTTTCAGCCAATATCGGATCCAGCCGTTTCCCGCTGCATCAGACATTCAAGGCCAGTATCGGTGCATCCCAAATGTGTTCTACTCAGTCCCTAATTACTCCCATGTTTGATCTGAAATCCTGGAGACTTTTTTTTGTACTTTTTTGTTATAAACAGAAAAGGTTCTCTTATTTTCCGAAGTGGTTTGAGTGGCAACGTCTGGCAGCGCTGCATGTTTTCATTGCAAGTTCATCCTCTCCCAAGAGTGTGTGTGCTGGGAATGAGTGAAATGGATCCTTCTGGTATCAGCGCTGTGCTGGCCGTGTGTAGCCTGGGGTTTCAGAGAGCAGTGCCCCTTCACTCCCAGTTGGAACTTGTCAAAAACCCAGAAGAAGGGATCTGTAAGGAATTATAAGTCCTCCTCGGGCAAAAGGAATCATGCAGGCAGAAGTAAGGACTGCCTGCACTCCATGTTGTGAGCAAACAAAACTGGAAAATGTTCTTCTCCGTGTGTTTTTTTTAATGAACTTTATTTATATAACCTACTTGCATGAAAAAGCCAGATCCCGTCAGACCTCTGAAGCTGTGCAGGGCAGGTCCTGGTTCACACTGGGATGGGAGACCGTTGGGAACACTAGGTGCCACAATGGGATGGCTGTAAAGTGCCAAACTGTTTTTGTGTCCTTAGGCAAGACACTTCACCCATATTGCTTAGAGTGAGTATGGTGTGTGTGAATGCTGGTTGCCTCGCTTCTGTCAGTGTGCCCCAGGGCAGCTGTAGCTACAGTAGTATTTTATCACCACTGTGTTTGGAGTGAAAGAATAATAACATGTGAAGTGACCTGAAAAGCACTATACAAAACCAATGCCTTATAACAAAATAGGCAGAATAACATTAGACATAGACAATAATCTATTTGAAGTCTTTTTCATTCTTCTGAAATATGTCTGCTCGCATATACATTCAATATTGTGATTTGCATTGGACACCATACAGAATCTGCGACATAATAAGAATTTATCCAGGCTTTGTAAGGACCATAGACCCTGTATAGATGGACAATGTTAACCCCCTAGTTCTATGAAGCAGAAGTGGGGATGTGCTCATGGCTGAAGTTTGTCTCAAAGTAGCTCTGGCTTACAATGAAAAGTAAAGTCCTCCAGCTCTTTAACCATTTGTGTCACACTTGCCTCATTTTTATCGTAAAAGTCTGTGCGCGGTTTAATGCTCTGTTTGATTCTGGTTTTGTTTCTTGGCCATGTCGGTGTACGTCCAGTTATGAGTCAGGTAAACTTATTGTTTTCTTCTATTCAAACATTCCCAAAAAAACAATGTGCACATAATTACTTTGACATGTTCCGGTGAGAAGCTTGTCTGGGGAAGCATGTTAGGTACTTTAGCACTCAGCCTTTTGCTCTTTGTCTGAATAGAAGAAATCTCTAAGTTTATTCGCAAAGAAGACTCAATGAAATAAAAATAAGAAATAAAAAATAACAAAAATACCGATCAGATGCTGTCACCGAATTCAACCTAAGACCAGTGCTGCTCCTGAATGGCTCTTTTGTTGCTAAGTTGTTGCTACACATTTATTTTTTACCAGTTTCCATATCATAGAGCCTGTTTGAGCTAGCTTGTTGGCTTGTTCCGCACCAAGGCAAACACGATGGGTGATGTCAGCGCTCATTCCACTCCTACAGTCTATGGTAATGGAATAATAGTTAATAGTTACATTGGTATTTACATCTTTTTATGTACATTTGCATACTGCCTCTGCAAAATAGATCGACTTCAGATCCATGCTGACTTAGCGCACTCCTCTCTGCTCAAAACCCATAGTTTATTTTCCCTCCCTTTGTGTACATGGACTGTATAGAGGGGAAGGAGGGTCAGCCACTGTCAACAAGCCTTGGATCGTGAGAAAGACGGGCCGCTATTTGTGAACTCCGTGTTACACCACAGCTGTCAGAGTCAAACTGTATCAGCCCTTGTCAGCGTCGCGTCAACAAGGCATCAACTCAAAAGCATCATCACAGCAGCTGTTTTCTAAATAACCAAGGAATGCCACAATAAAGAGCTTTTCAAGTGATTTAGCTTTTAAGAGAGGTTTGCACTCCGCTGACGTACATCGGCGAGTGGGAGAGAGCACTTTATCTGCAGCTGCTGTTGTCAAAGCGTCATGAACGATGCAGACTGTCACAATATATCCTGATCCAACTTAATATGATTGTGTGATGAGCAGTTACTCATCTTAATCAGTGCACCTGTTATCTCTGATTAATATCCACATGTGTCAGGAGGCTTATCTCAAACACAATAACCAAATAATAGCTTGTCCGCTAAGACCTGTCCTTAAACCCTTTTGTTGAGGCTCTAAATATAATCTATTTTTCACTGGCTCTTAATTTTGTCATGGACTTTAAAATGGTCCATTATTGATATTTTGATGTTAACCTGGTGGTGTTTGATATAGATGAACATAGATAATAAACAAGGCAGCTGATAAATGTAAAGGAATTAACATGTTTTTCAACCTTTCAATCTTTACACAATTAGGGAGATTTTTTATCCGTCCCACAGTTTGGAAATGTTAGTGTTGCGTCACAAGTTACAAAACAGTAGGAATGAGGAGCACACAGCACACGATAAGTTAATATTATGTATAGCGCAAGTCTATAAAATCTTTAGCTTAATGAAAAAAACAAAAGTATTAACAAGTGCCAATATTAGCAGCAACCTGTGCCAGTTTTATATATTCATGATTGTGTGATTCAGAAAAGTTTTTTATATGCACATGTTTTTCAAGGCTTGTTTATGTCCTCCTGGATACTGGTTGAAAATAACTTTTAGGGGAATTAAGGGTTGGGGTTCTTTTCTTTCCCTGCATGTTCCTCAGTGTGCTATAACACAAAGGCACAGACAATCCAGGTCTGTTTAAGATCTTGTTTTTATTGTTACTTCCTTTATACTCGAGCAGAGCTGGTTCTACACTTCGTACTAAAATGTTTGTGAGAAGTCAAATAAATCCTGTGATGAAAGTTCAAATGGATGATGGTCTGGGTTTTTGGATGACCACAGAATATTTGTAAGAACAAGTGAGTCACTATTTGACCTTGGACTGAGAATGGATTGGCTTTTTCACCTTTCTGTTTAAAAAATCTGATCTAAAGATGTGACAGAAGCCAAAAACATGTGAAAACTAATTTAACGGCTTATACGGATTTCAGACCATAGTTAAAGTTTTTGTGGTTGGAAAGTTAGGATCCCCAGCTTTAATCAAATGTTATTAATAATAGAAAAACTATGTGCACATGGACTGGCCTCCTGCTGGTTCCCAGAGGACTAAACATTGGGAGGCAGCATTTCAGATTTATGGAGCTAAATAATACAAAAGCAGTTTTCCTGAAAATGGGAGAGAGGATTCTACTCTGATTATGAGAATTATTTTCTTCATTTGTTATGCACTTTGAGTCCCCTTGTGTATGATCTATGCTAAATAAACAAACTGGCCTTGCCTTCCCTGTTACCTTTAAATGCAGCTTTTTATAATGTTTTTTTTATATCTTGTGTGTTACGCCTTGATTATCTGAGGGGCCATCTGCTGTTTGAACAATGCTGCAGCTTTTTCCACTGCATCATCAGTATTATGGAAACTCCTTTGTGAAAATATGTGTCTTCTGTCCCCGCAGCACTCTGTCCAGCTGCATGCACGCCGTGGTCGCCCTGCTCTATCCCTTCTCCTGGCAGCACACCTTCATCCCCGTGCTGCCTGGCTCCATGCTGGACATCGTCTGCTGTCCCACACCCTTCCTGGTGGGGCTGCTGTCCAGCTCTGTGCCCAAGCTCAAAGAGTTACCTGTGGAAGAGGTGAGAGAAGGAGAGGGTCTTCATCAACGATAGGCAATTATGTAAAATGCAAAGATCTTTTTCATGATCTCAGCCCTAAATATCTAATTAGCTGAGTTTGACAATTAGATAGATAGCCCTGTTTCTATTAGCTCACTGTACTCTACTCGGTTCTGCTCTACCTGTTTGTGTTTCTATTACGCTTTAGTATCTGGTACCGTATCCTAGCAACCTTCCCACAACAACACATCCATCTATACAAGCACCAATGAATACATAATTCTAAACATTTTAAACCAAGTTATAAAGAGCACATGTAGATCTGTTGTACAATCTTACAGCCAGATGAACGAAGGATCTTGTAAAACAATTACAACAGACAATTAAAGTGAGTTTGAGAGTTTGGCTTTCCATTTATTCTATTAACCTTAACCTTATTTAGGAACCTTAATATAAACATTATTTTTCCATCCTATATTTTATGAACTCCCTGAAAAATGAAGGCACAGTTTTTACTTTTGTCTTGATTTTTGATGGAATTTTTTTAAGCTACAGCTTATAGGTTAATTTGATGCTATTTAGCTATCTGTTGTGAACCTCATCCACAACTACCACAAAAGACTCCAAGCTGTCAAAGATGTTAAAGCTATTGAGAACTGGGGAATGTACACTTCAAATTGGGATCTTTTGAGTACAGTTTCTATCATTTTAATTTAAAAATAGAAAAAGTTTATTTGACATTAAATGGCGTCACACAACCACTGAAAATGAGTAGATTTTTTTGCATGATATATTTATAATCTCCAAATATTGTCAGGTCTTGGTGTGTACACCTTCAAGCACAATTGTATGTCATTGTACATAAAAGTTTAAATATTTGCCTTTTCCCTGTGTCATTTCAGGCTTTAATGGTCGACCTGGGGACTGACCGCTTCCTCCGCCAGGTAGTTCATCCTTAGTCTTATTTTTGTTGCTCCATGTTGACTCCATGTTTTGAGCCACATACCAAAGACTAAACTGCTTCTGTTTATGAAAAACCAACCTCGTGCATGCGCTTGTTTACAGATGGACGATGAAGCCTCCCTGTTGCCACGGAAACTCCAGTCGGCCTTGGAGCAGGCACTGGAGCAGAGAAATGACATCATTGGCCAGGACTCCGACAGCGAATCAGACGAGGGTGAGTAAGGTCATGTGTGCGGACAGATGTGTGAACCTCTGGGGCATGTTGTCACAAGGAGTGGATCTAAATTAATCACCAAAGTTTGTTTAAGGGTGAAATAATGTCTGCTGCGTGTGTGTTTGTGCGCGCGTGTGCGTGTGTGTGTGCGTGTGCGTGTGTGTGTGCATGTGCATAGGTGGACTTAAGAACAAAGTAGTTGACTCAAGCCCTGTTTCCACCAAGCCCTGCTGAACTCTACTCTTCTTGTGTTTCCATTTCACCTTTGTATCTGGTACCGTATCCTAGCAATCTACCCACAACAAATCAGTATACAGCGAAATTCCTTGCTAACCAGGGCTTCTAGCAATCACTGGTTGTTTGAAAGCTTTAGAACCAGCTTGGTCTTGTACCAAGCTGGTACTGAAACAGTACCAGTTAAACAGGGCTGAGGGAAATGCTCGAAATTGTGGTAGAGAAGAGCTGGTGGAAACAGGGAGTCACATTCATTCAATATTGTGAACCGAACTTCAGAAATATTTATCGGATTTGTTGGAGTAGGTTTTATTGAGGGAATGGGAATGGTAGTAGTAGTAGTAAACGATTCCACAAATGTCTACAAAGTCATTTTTAAGTAATCTTTTTAAATAAATTGCAAACCATTGTCTACCTATATTCATATAGGTTACCTCAGCTATTTTTTCATACAGTTTATGTTATACCAACCTCAGTATATGAGCTGAAGCATATTCTTTTCACTTTGAAAAACAAAACAAGCATAAACAACATGTGTCCTTACTATGAGTGGGTTGCATGTCATACTTAGACTCTTCCGGTTTGTGTCCATGGAAATATTGATCCTTTGAAGTAGTATTGTCAAAAGTTTTTTTTTTCTCTATAAAGACAAGCAAAAGGGCAATTTTTAGAATGGGTGCCTCATTTATAAAACGTTGCCTAGATTTTCATAACAAAACTTACACAAACTTCCTCAATTCTTTACTTACTGACAATCTCTGAAATCTGGCAAGACTGTAGATCACAAACCTTTTATTTTAGTTTATGTTTTACCAACCTACCTTATCTTATCCTAGAATGAGTCTGGTGGTCGGAGGGGTCGATGGCACACACTGGTTTCCTCAGCTATAGTAGTAGTTTTCCATCACCCTGTACGGAATGAATTAATAATGCCATGTGAAGCGTCTTTGCGTGTCCAATATAAAAAAGGGCTATATCAAAAAACTATGCATTATTATTATTATTATCACAGTGAGGATGTGTGTTCGTTTATTAAGAGGAATAACCCCTTGACATCTCGTTTCCCATTCTGTAATTTAACAAATGCAAGCAGGATGTGCAAACCATTTACTGCAGGGTTGTTCAAACAAAGCCTTTACATCTCCACGGGTTTATCCATAACTCTTCGTTGGAACTTGTACAATGAACTCTGTAATTGTGTGTGCTATGAAACGGCGCACATCTATTGTTGCATACTAGCCCAGAAGAGGTCTGGCTTTCCACTCAGCCTGCACAGTAGTTATCCACGTTGTAAAAAGTGGCCCACGATGAGGATTTTAAGACATTAAATACATTCTTGGTGTATAGTTTCACTGCGCTGTATCGCTGCACGTCAAAAAATATATGAGTGGTTTTCTGTGTCCCCGCTGTCTGCATTCTTCCCCAAATTCCTTCATGCAGAGGATAAAAATGTTGGTGGTTGTTTTAAATCAGTTCCTGCCATTTTTGACTTGTTCAAACTTATCGTCAAAGCAAAACACTTTCGCAACGTTTATTTACAAAGGTGTCTAAACTGTCACAGCTCACATTGATTCACGGAGTTGCAGGAGACAACTGCATGGGGTAACCAAAGTAAAAAGGAATATCAGTATCCAACCACATTATTGTTGTAACGCATGTATTGTTTCTTTTGTGGTGACGGTAATTCAAACTGAATGACCGTGAGTTATGAGAAATATCCCCACGTCTGTACTGTGTAACAATAGCAGCAGGAGAAAGTAACTCTATACATGCCTTTAATCTTGCTCTGATTGCACACATTTAACATTATCCATGTGGCTACACACACATAAAACCACCATAATCTCACAAGGTTAATAATCTGTGTATATTATTCTTAGATGTGCTCATTGGTTCGGTTATTTCACACCATAATTGTTTGATCAGTTAAGTAATACAGCCCAGAGAATCTTGGGAAAATGATATAAACACAAACTTCATATTACCGCAAGATATGTCAAACATGTGAAAGTATATGTTTGTTTATTTATCTTTGCAATTAGTTGGAAGATTAAGTACAGTTATAAATTTTCATTGTATTTTAAGTAAACACAATATTAGCTTCATTCCCATGGCCCAAAAACGCAGACATTTTGCGCCCAAACCCCCCAGACGCCCTTTCAGTGCACATAGAGCAACATGGGCTGGCGGGTCAGAGCAGCTCGGCGTTTAACCTGTCTTGCGACCCTAGTCTTTTTTCAAAGGCGTGATTAGTGTGAACAAATGTGTATACTTAAAACAGCAATAAAAGCAATAAAACTGTCTGATAGCCTTTTCTTACATGTGGCTCAGGTGAAGAAAGTAATTAAACACGAATCACACTAGGGACAATACTTTGCAAAACGGCAGCATAAAAGAGTGAAGCTCTTACCACAAGATGTTTTTTTTTTGTATAATACGTTGTAAAATGTTCAGATTGGTCCACATGGATAATAAACTTGCCGTAGTCCATTAAATTGAAAGTCAATGTGTTTATTTTGACATGTTCCCGTCTACCCATGATAAAAAGTCAGATTTCCAGAGTTTTGCTTTCAACTTTTCCATCTAACTTTATGAGAGAGACAAGCGAGCGTCTTCACAAAGTTCCTTGTCATATCTGCGTAGAGGCGAGCGGAGGCAATGTGAGAATTTAGGTTTATGTGAATTTAAAGTCTGTAACTTAATATGTAAGTTATACATTATAACAACAATAATAATAGCAGGTTTTATTTCCTACTGTAGTACATTCCAAGTGTAATCCAAAATGTGAACTACAATCAACTCCTTTATAGAGTTATATATAGATAGTATAAGTAGTTATATATATAGAGTGATAGAGTATGTTGAAAGATCTTTTCCAATGGTACTTAGGCCATCTTCCTTAACCAAAACCCCTCCTTCCTCTCATTAGATTAGATTAGATTAGATTAGATACAAGGCAAGGCAAGGTTTATTTGTATAGCACAATTCATACACAAGGGAACTCAAAGTGCTGAACAAAACAAGATTGAAACAATCACACAAGGCATTAAAAACATTAAGAATCACAGTACATTAAAAAGAGTGAAGATTAAATCCCTCAGTTGTATGCACAACTAAACAGAACTGTTTTTAACCTGGATTTGAACACTGTCAGAGGAGAAACCTGTCTCACATTTTTAAGGAAGACTGTTCCAGATTTTAGCTGTGTGAATATGAAATGCAACCTCCCTTTCCGTTTTATAAGAAAGCTATAACCCTCTTATATAAAGGAATTTCTGGAGAGCCATAACATACATAACTACATTGACAACATGAATTTAAACGAGTCCTCTCAAACTTTTGGATATTGTGAGGAAAGTTTTTGTTCCGTCACGTGACTATATTCCCTGTGTCTGCAGAATACAACTCCCTGACCAACCTGGTGTCCGAGGCCTTTATCCGCTTCTTCCTGGAGACGATCGGACACTACTCTTTGTTCATCACGCAAAATGAACACGGGGAGAGGGTTTTCCAGAGGGAGCCTTTCCGCAAATCTGTGGCCTCCAAAAGCATCCGACGATTCCTGGGCGTCTTCATGGAGTCGCAGATGTTTGCAGGTTTCATCCAAGATCGGGAGCTCCGGAAAACAAAAGCAAAAGGTAGGAAGAATAAAGTAATGATCACTCCAAACTCTCCAAAATCTAAGGCGCTTTATATAATATGCACAATGAGTGGTCTAACTTGTGTTACGAGAATCTTACTGTCTGTGACACAGGTCCAACCACGAATTACTGATGCAATCCACTTACTAGGGTTTAGCTAGAAACGAAAAAAACAAATCGTAGTAGGCATGACTACTACATTTTTTGGACCTGGTTTAATTAAAGTATATGTGATGCTATTTAAAAAAACAGCTATTTCATCTAACAAACTGGCAACCCAAATGAGAGCCTTATTCTGCTCTCTGATTGGATTCTCTGGTTATTATTCTTAGAACTAGAACTTTAAACTTTTATTCATAAAAAGTCTAATGTTATCTAGGGACACGTATAAAAGTAGTAGATGTCATTTGAATTGGAAATATTTCATACTTTCCCTTTAACATCTTTTAGAGCTCGGGAATTATCGTGAAAAAAACATTACCTTGGAAATGCATCTGTCTTCATCAATGTCATCCTGATTTGTATTTGTACATTTACAACAGCACCATCTGCTCAAAGTGCTTCACATGCACAGAAGAAAAGAGAATATAAAAGCAGAATGAAATAGACACAGACAAATGTGAAATATAAAACAGTGGAACTCATTCAATCAAAATAAGTCATGTTTACTGATATATATATATTTTATGTTTTACAGTAAAGCACTTTGGGAAGCTGTTGTAAATGCTCTATGAATAACGATTGATTTAGAGATTGATGTTTGTAGCAAGTTGTGCAGCTCATCTCTTGGAATACATTGTCAAAAACACACACAAAAATATATATGTTACTTCTGGTGAATATCTTTATCACTTCCTTTCAGAATAGTTTTCAATTGGCTCTAAATGCTGTGTTTTGCATCTGATAATCTCAATTGGTTTGATGCATTTGCTGTAATATACAATGCTTAGGTGGCGTGATACAGTACCTCAAGCTCCACACTGTACCTAAAAGAGTGCAAACTTTGTATAAACTTTGTGTATTTCAGTAACATTCACCCATGTGGTTTTAACAGTACACTTATACTGCCCCCTGGTGTGTGAAACATGGCTCTAAAAAATCCAGTCTTTCTCCACGTCTTTTCTCTTAAACCACTGCCCACATGACTGGCATAATTTTACGCAGAGAAAGTATAAAAACATGCCATTTTATTTCATTGATCCCATTCTTGGTAGGTTTGTTTGAGCAAAGAGTGGATCAGTATCTGGAGGAGCTCCCAGACTGTGAGCAGAGTGGAGTCAACAAGTTCCTCAAAGGCCTCGGTGGGTATTCAGTGACTTTTCATTCTCTTATAGTTTGAAAATAGTTATTATTTCTGAAGAAAGTTCTCACCACATAGGACAATAATTGCATGATGGACTGAATAAGAAAAAAGCTTGCAAATTAGGGGAAAGAACTACACTCAATGTTCACTAAGTTGGGCTTCATGGTACATTTATATATAAAATTAAGCGTCTATTCTCCCGCCTTCCCCAGGTGGCAAACCAAATTTTAAAAAGAAGAAAAAACATTGCTCGATATGAGGAAAAGTGATAATTCTCCCCTGCTCGCTCAGTCCTACCACCACTATTATTACTATTATTATGTCACCAGCTGCAAGATGAGCTTTTTGGCATTTAAGCCAGGGGTGTCCAACCTATAGCTCGAGAGCCACCAGTAGCTCACCAATCCCTTTCAGGTAGCTCCCCAAAGGATTTATAACTGATGAACACATGATCCTGAATGAATACATGTTGAGTTGTTTCATATCTATTAGTATATATATCTATAAGTGAAATATACAGTTATAGTATACAGTAAAATATACAGTTTGACAGGATTATAGTATATTTCCATGTGTTCTCCATGTGTGTTCGCTCTTGTCATAATTCTTACATAGATTTTTATTGAGGCTGCAAAAAAGAAGTAGCTCTCTGCCTTTTCTGTTGTATAAAAGTAGCTCTCTGATTGGAAAAGGTTGGAGACCCCTGATTTAACCTGGTTTCCATACGAATCTGAAAAGCACTTTGAGTAGCCTGTATGTGCCTGTGTATGAACTGTGCAATACAAATAAACTTGCCTTGCCTTAGTCTTAATTAAAGTAAAATGATGTCCCGTAATTGTACATTTTAAACTGTTTTTAACTATTCAATTAATACATATGGAGGTTAGCGCTTGTTAAGCTCTTTGAGGGTTTTTTGCTAACCATCCATCATAATATAGTACATAATAGTTTGTGGGCGACAGTAGCTCAGTTGGTAGAGCATTGGCCTTTGAGCCTGAAGGTCGTGGGTTCAAGCCCACCGTAAGACCTACTTCACGACTCCCACTGATGACTGCTGTCGTTGTGTCCTTGGGCAAGACACTTAACCCCACTTCGCCTGAAGCCCTCACTGAAAGATCTCAGCTGCTATGGACTCACCACCTGCAGGAGGATCAGTGAGGGGCTGGTGCTCTGTGTACTGGGTGCAGCTCTGGCCACCCCCCTTACCCAGAAATGGATTAAGGGGAAGAAAATGGATGGATGGATGGATGGATAATAGTTTGTGTTTTTATGTATTTCGCTAAATTTGTAACCCAACTAACTAAACAAAATCTAATCTCCTAGTTTTATATTTACAAGCCGTACTTTGAGTCACAATCCTTTGTTCACAATTAACATACTTGAACATTGGTCCTGGTTAAATAATTGAAAGTTAATAATGTGAATGTTCAGTCTTTATTCTATTATGCGTCAAATCAAACAAAGTGTGAAAGAATTGCACGGAAAATATGTACACGATATGTAGTAAGAGTGAAACGATGAATGTAGTCGTAACGTAACGCATGCTAAACATTACAGTTATCATAACAATGTGCTCTTCTTCTTTTACAGGAAATAAAATGAAGTTTCTCCATAAAAAGAACTGAGACCAAAATCCCACGATATTGTCATAAACGTGTCTTTTTTATTGTTGTAATTATGTACATATTTGACAGTATGTTGGCTGTGATACAACTCATACTTTATGTTTATAGTACTTAATAAGGTATAGCTCTAGATGGTACAGCGCGAGCCGAGCTGAAAGTAACCACTCATGTCTTCTGTGCCTGTGAATGTTATGGACGAGTGAATTACCTGACACTTGATATGTTATTGTGCCTTTTTCACAACATGGCGGTTCTCTGTAAACGTATGGCAAACTGTAAATGCATCGAGACAATGAAGAATATGATTGTAACTGTTATGAAATCCCTTTGCAATCTTTTAATAAAAACATAATTGAAATGTGTCTGATGATTAGAATGAGGTGTAGGCCCACATTTAAATTATTATGTGACTATTTATTTTATTTACTATTTATTACTGTTCTCTGCAAGTCATTTCATGTTTTAGAATGTGAAATAACATCTTACGTAGAAAATATATGGTGACAAAAGGGGCAGAGTTGTATGATTTTGCCAGAAGTTGTTGGTATTAGCATTGATGGATCTAAAAACAACTGCAGTCCTGTTTTTAAGATAAGAAGGTCTTGGGACAGAGGTTCACATGCTGTACACAGACACCACATACATTTACATTTCAGGGGTGTCAAACTGGTCAGGGGCCGATTAAGAAATAACTGATTGGGGGCCGAAAGAATGGAAGAGGTTTCCTTTTCTTGTTATAGTTTTTTATATTTTGAATGTATTTTGACCTATATGGTACAGTGTTTCACTATTATTCTCTGGTTGATTTTTCTGAAAACAATGTGTGTTTAGTGTTTAGATTAACCAAAATTGGACCAAATATAAAGTTAAACTACTACTTCACTTTTAATGATGTGTTGCGTTACATGCCTTGGTAGTCCATAACCATCCAAGCTAAGTTAATAATCATTACAGGGGCCACTAAAAATGGTCTTGTGAGCCTGATTTGGCCCACGAGCCTGAGTTTGACATGTCTGCATGAAATAGACCAAATTAGAGTCATGTAAGAGCCCCATCAGAGACCATCAGTTTAATGAGGGAACAATGTTATAACTTGGAGGAAAGCTTTAGTATTAAAAATCGTAATCAAATAACATTTCTACTTGTATTTTGATGTATCCACTGTGGTCCCAAACTACATCAAGACACATGCTCATTGCTCATCTTCAAAGCCAAATCCTTTGCATAGACTTTTGTTGTGTGATATTTACCTTCTTATCCTGGGACATCTCAATGACAGTTCCCCCCAAAACTTCACATGAAGAAGGAGCAGGATCCCAAAAGGCTGCACGTCTAGCGCCAGCGACCGCATGCTGCTGTTTTAACCTCATTTATTTGAAGGCGTCTCGTTGGCAGCTGTCAGAGCCGTGCTGTTCTTCGCTCCTCTGACTGACACTAATGCTCGCTGCTGTTCATACACACGTTTATATTTATAGGGCGATATGTTTTTATACACCACCATAATTAAACATCACGCTTGTAAGAATGACATGGGTTTGATAAATGTGGTAGTAAAACACTTTCTTACCCAGAGAAAAGTTTCAACAATAGGTATTCAAACCAAACTTTCTGTAATTGTATCATTTGACTATTATTATTATCAAATCAAATCAAAAACCCCAAAACAGCCTCTATACAAACCTATGCCAGGGTCCTAAAGCCAGGTATGAATCAGGTTTTTGGAGATGCAAGCTCATTCACACGGCTATACAACAACACATTCTAAAATAAATGAATAAATAACATTTCGAATTTTTTATTAGTTTTTATTTATTTGTTACTTTCACGAAAATACTGTCAATCTCATTACAGCAGTGTTCACATAATGATAATAGTTACGAAATCTGATAAACATTGAAATGAATAGAAAGGAGCTGAAAAAAATAATACAATTTCTTATATTTTTCAGTATCAGACACACAAGTGAGGATCTACTCTGACCTTTCCCCGGTACAAAAACAAAAACATTTAAAAGTTTAAAATGTGTTTCATAAATTGGGTGTGTTTCTGTTGTAGACTTCTTTTTCAGTTGGTGCCAATACAAATCTATCGCAAGAACCAATTTTGGAATAAAACAATTCTAAATGTTTTCCTAAATCATTATTTGATAGCAATATGAGTCAAAAACCCGCTGTATTATTCTTATGTCTGAAAGTCCTTTCTGGCAAACATCATACATACTGTATGTATTAGAATTTCTCACTAAAATGGGAAAATAATTAGACTAGAGTATGTCCAGACAAAGATATGAACCTTTGTGGCAGATTTTGTTGAAAGCAATTATAGAGAAATTAGTAATAAACTCACATTACAAGTTTGACTATTGACCGTCACCATAGTTACCAGGAAAGATTTTACCCGATTTCAAATTATGACTAAACTTCATCATCCTAAAGTTGGAGATTTTAGACGTATATCCGTATTATGCTAAAGATAGACATGTTATTTTTCTAATACTGTTTCTGTTTATGCCAGGGTTACAGATTTTAATTAATTTCATTTAGAAGTTATTATTCATTCATCTTGTGCTGTGTGCTTCCCATCCCTACTGCCTGTAACTTGTGATGCAACACTGACATTTCCCCCACTGGGAGGAATAAAGGATTTCTTACTTTAACTACTGGAATATTGTTAAGTCACATGAACGCACCATGACTCGACTTCAACTACTAAGACTTTACAAACTCAAAATATAAAAATAAAATAATAATGGTCTCCAAACGTTATAAAATGATCAATACCTCTTCATCAACACATAAACCTCCAAATAATTGAAACCTCTAAAACCTGGACAGAAATATGCACATACAAATATCTTTCATTTGTTTGTGTTGTCTTTAAATGCTATTGTGTGTCATGATTGAAGATACATGACCGCGCACGTGTCACAACCATAGACAACAACACAACGCTACACAACTTTCCGCGCTCTCATCTGACGCTGCTACTGCCTTGGGAGACGTCAGGAGTGTTGCAGAGGAGCGCGTATCAAAATCTCACGATTAACTGCGAGACTTGGCACATCCAAAATTTTTAGCTGCCCAAAGAGCATCCTCATCACCATCACCGGAGGGGGCATCGCCACCACAGCATCACGGGTCATCAAGGTATGTTATTATAGGGATGAGACGCGCGTACGGGTTGACCAGCAGACGCAGAAGAGCACTACCCGTATCTAAAACCCCAGTGTCGCTTCTGACATCTCCAGCGCGTTTACTGTCACGATAGGATGCACAGTAACGATAACTATTCCACGCTGGAGATGGTGCAATTTTGACTCTGCGTTGTCTAATCTACCGTATGCATGCGTGCTGCGGTCTTGCTCCGTGCGCCCCTGGGCTGCAGGGCTCGGGCAGGGGCGTGAAATCCGTGGCGTACTTTGCAGAAAGCGGTGACGCGCAGCTGTAGGTGAGGCTGGCGGCGTTCATAACATCCTTAAAGAAGTACGGCCAACAACGTGAGTTAGTACAAAACACACGTTCAAGTGATTTATCTTCAACTCTTTCTAGGCATAGATAACTTTACACGCATTGTTTATTGTTGTGTGTATGCTACTGTTTCTGTCTATGTACAATACTGTATGCATGCATAGTTTAGTGATTATTATGGAGTGACCCTACAGCAAAGTCACCTTTTCGTTGTGTAAAATAGATGATATAATGTGTTTGATGTTGTTACTGTATACAAATTGTCCCTGAAATTGTTGAACAGTATTGTAACGTAAGAATGCCCCTTTCAACTAACTGGTCACTGTCCCATACTTTTTTAGTCTATAGGTTTGTGTTTCATTACTGTATTTTAACTGTTATTACTGTTGCTTAAACTGAATGACACCTAATTACGTGTTAAAGTAAATAGGGTCAAACAGTCTTAAGATTATTATCCTTGCGTGATCCCACCCTGATCCCACTCTGATGGTGTTAATAGATGTTATATTAAGCCACTTTCAAGGGAGCGATCTCCATACCGGCTTCTATTATTGTGACATCTCCTGAGATGATGTGGATTTGGTGCCAGCTTTACTTAGCAGGGAGCCTGGGCAGGTTCTTTTTCCTAAACCTTGAGAAGGCGAAAAACTGGCATACAGCTTGTAATTTAAAAACACGGTGCACTTCCTCTACTCACTAATTGTATTTTAAATTGGGTCTTTGAACACAATGGGGAGTGGGACTGTGCAGAGCTCCCCACTGAAGCACCCAACAATGAGAAACTTGTCAGATTTGTAGGTCAAGCAGTAGGGGTTGTTGTTGGGCAGACTTGATCCATGCTCCTGCTGGTTTGACTTTTTGTTCTGATTTTCATGGGATGTATTTATTTAACTTTCATGTTTCTTTCTATAGGCGTATTACTGTGAACTATTGTGAGTGTTATTAGCGAAAGTCAAGGTCAAGATAAGGTTATCTCATGTCATATTTGTCATGTTATTTATGGCAACCGGCATGGAATCCTCTTGTGCACACATGTAAGCACGTGTTAGGTTGAAATCTAAGTCTTCCTTCACAGACTCAATGTGTCTCATGATGACAGCTCTGTGCAGTTTGGAAAAAGTTGCACGATTCCATAATTATGTATAGAAATAACTTACATTCAGGATTATCCAAACATCCAGGACACATGATTCAAATTGAAGAGTTCATATGCAAAAACAGATACCTCCTATTTGAAATTTTATCCATAATATTGTATTTCTCTGGTTACAATCTTCAACATGTTCTGTTAATAGCAGTACACTTGAAGGAATTTGCGCAAGAAGGGGTGAAACATCATTTGTATGGCTCTAAAATAGATCTGGCTTTTCACAAAACTACTTGGCAAAGAGAAAATTGTAAGCTTTTCCAATATGTTTCCATGGTACCTGTTTTTGCATATAAACTCTTCAAATTCAAAGTTATATTATAGTCTCATTGTTGATAACATAATTCAGTAAAATGCGTATCTTTCTGTCGTTTTAATTCCATGTTGCTGAGATGGGTTTGATCCCTTTATTCCCTTCACTTGTGTGTGTGTGTGGGCTCCGCTGACATCTCCCTGACTCTAAAATCTTAATTGATTTGCGAGAGCAGTGGGGATTGTGGAAGAGTATCCTTGTCCCATCTGGATATTATCAGAGCCTGACCCGCTTTTGGTGTGCTGCGTTAGAAGTGCACCGTTCCACTGGGAGCTGTCCCCACCTTGTGCTGACAAAGGGCTCCGGAACAGGGCCACATTTGTGCATCTCCAGAAAATCATCTTTGCATTTAGTTATAACTTAGAACCTCTACTTTCCCTACGCCAGTCACTTCTCTAAGCTCATTGTGGGTCACTTGCTCTCTCATTTTTCACTTTAGAATTAGCTTCCGGCAATAACGCGGCCTACAAAAAATAATTATCTTATCTCCCTAATTCCCAATTATTATGCAGAGGCTTATTTAATAGGGAAAAAAAGGATGAGATTGTGAGTCTTTTTGGTGGTTACGTCAGTGGGTAGCAGATTGTTCTCTCTCTGCAGTGGTCCGGGGTCCTACACATGGATGAACTGGGGGAGGAGAGGGCTGTCATGTAGGCTCTCCGCTGGGGCCAGAGCACTCTTTGAGCTGCTTCCTGCCGCAGGTACAACCACACTCACTGCTGAACAAGGCTCCTGCTGAGAACTCCACTGAACATCCTGCTCAAGCCGGCGGCATGGAGAAGGTACGCACAGCTCTGACATATTCCCCTCATGCGTGATTACTTTGTCTGTTTATATTCATATCTGATAAATATTTGAAATGTTGCATGTTTTTTTTTTTACTTTCGTTTTAGTTGTTACTTCAATTTCTGTGTCCCCCAATGACTCTACTTCTACATTTGTGTCAGAAGATGACTTGTGCCGGAGGAATATTTGTTTAAACTGGGGCATTTTATTAATATTATATTGTCGTTGTGGCACACCTTTTTATCATTGACAACAATCACATGGCACACCACCAGCTGAAACTGATACAAACATGAAACTCTGCAGCCTTTATTAACAAAGAAAGGTCATTCTCATCAAAGTGAGAATGACTAATCTTCTCACATTATTTTCCTTTCACATTATTTTAACCAATAAGGTGATATTGGACCATTTCCAAAGAAAGGCACACTGGTTTAAAAACACTTGTGTAGAGATCCATTGCAACTTTTCTGATGCATCCACTTCCAGTTATTTTATTACAGATGTTTTGGTATTTCTAAAAATTTAAATTCCATTTTGTTGGCTCGGCTCTGCTCTTGCTTGTCTCCAATGTGGATGGAAATTGGGTGCTATACTCGAGTATATTTCAGACAAAACATCATTTGGATGGACCCGAGCTACCACTAGAAAAGCTGAGACATGCACCTTTAAATAGTACGGAGTGGTATGGTATGTTTTAACAAGAGCACTATAATGTTTAATGCGTGTAGCCCTAGAATATCAACACATAAATCATAGATCTAGTTTATATGGGTACATTATCTTTTGATTGATGTTGCTCTCAAGAGAGTATGTCACAAAGTCCTTGATGCATGAAACAAAACAACATCTCTGGGCAGTGTGTTGAACCGGAGGAAGCCGTCAAATACCGCAGACACGTCTCCTTATGTTTGTGTCTCTGTCACACTCGTTAAAGCAGCGTGTCCCGTGTGTTTGTGTGTTTTCAGAGCTGCTCCCAGTGCTCAGAGGCGGCTCTCGCCCAGAGCCTCTGTACGCGCTGCAACAAGTGGCTGTGTCACCAGTGCACAGATGTTCACCAACACCACACGGCCCCCTTCTCTGACTGTCAGCAGGCCACCAGGCCCAATGCCAGCCAGTGTGCGGACCTCCACCAGAGAGCCACCAACTCCCTGGCAGCTCCCAGACAAGGTCAGACTGTTAGCATTATCTAATGATAGTTTTAGGTCAGTATGGCTGACAGAAACATGTATTCTAACACATAAGACCCAGGTTTGTTTCACCTGTGTTGAAATGGTGCACCGACAATAGTGACGTGATAGACTGAAACGTCTCAAAGTGTAAGGGCCAAAACAAACTTCTGACTCTGGCAGAGTGCACCCAGGGCCAGTGTGAATCACGGACAACAGCAAGCCCATCATCCAGCGTGGAATATCAAATATTATATTTGTGTAAGGACTACTTTACAAAATAAAGAGCAATAAATTATAAAAATTACACAAAAAAATCCCTCTTAGTTACACGGTGTCTTATGCTGACATCAAAAGACTACTTCTCAAGGCGGTTAAAAAGCAAGTTCTTTCAACGCACAACCCTGTGTTGCTCAGTGTGTAAGTGTGTAAGGCGAGCAGGGTTTCTGCATGACAAAAAACAACTATGTTTTTGCTCAATGGGAATGAACCATAGATGAACAGTATATCAAACAACTGAGTTTTCTCATGTCATACTGGACATACAATTCACATCACATTCTTAAGTGTAACAACTTTTAAAAGTTTTTACTCTTGTATGCATGCATGCATCTAACTTTCATTTTAGGAGGGCAAAACAAAACAACGAAACCCAGCTGCTTCTTTCCCTTCCCTCTTTATTCTAAACCACGATTCTGGCCTGGCTTGAATCTCTTTGCGTTGCTTCCTGCCTCAGTAGGAACCATTGCAAATGAATAATGTACAATAGTAGCTTGTTCATACCGTTTCTAAGAGGTGCCTGACTTGTGTTACATTTTTAACTTTGGCCCAGTTTCTAAGTTTGTCTAATATTAGCCGAGCCCTATTACTGTAAACGCATTTTTGTAGGCCTGAATCCTCTGATCAGATGTTTAATATGTTAAAGGATTGATGCTGAAAACAGATATATCAGATAGGTCTCAACACCTTATTATTGTGTGGTGATAGTTTGGGCGCAGCTCGTGTGAGAAAACAAGTGTTAGTGTGTTGACAGACAGGATGTGGCCCATCTCTGGTTTGATGCAGTCTGTTTCTCTTTGCCACAAAAAATGAGAGTACATCAGGTCAAGTTATAAAACCTTCATCACATTAAACCGGTTATTTGTATTTTATCAATCACCCTTCCAGAATCATCAGCGACATTCTATTGCTCTGTGTCCATGTGTGCCACGATGAAGCCAGAGTCAAGTGTTCTCTCTTAATCTCACACGTATTGGTCAAGTTTACCCACTGTACTTCAGAACCCTATGTATCGGTTTTTGTAATGTCTCAGGTCTGTTTCAAAAGAAGTACTCCGACTGTGGTGAACAGTGGACACTATTGGAGTGTGCACTATTGCAGTGTTTTTCAACCTTTTTTGAGCCAAGGCACACTTTTTTCACTGAAAAAATCTTGCGGCACACCTCCAGGAGAAAATGTAAAAATGTATACAGTACTAATGTAAAAATATATACTGTACATACTCTGTGTGATATATAAAGTATATCTTATCTTATCTTATAATGTATACAGTATACTCTGTAGCCTATATTCACAATATACAGTTATTCTCATCAAAATGCTTAAGTCCAGGCCTTGACATTAAGCTTTATTTAACATTTCTCGATACAATTAACAAGAGTTTGGTATAAAGTGGCACTAACTGTGTGGAAAAAAACTAAGAAAATCCACTCTCTGCCCAAATAGTCAAATAATAACTCACACAAAGAACATGCATTGTTAGTGCATGGGAAAAATTTAGGTATCCGAGCTTTAAATTCAGGAGTTTTGGATGAGGGACACGGGAGGTCCTGAACGCGAGTCCATGGTTCTGTCCGGTCCGCATGTCTATGGTTCTGTCCGGTCCGCATGTCTGTGGTTCTGTCCACTCGACTATGGTCTGCGCTCGGTACCCAGTTCAGAAGTGCGTTCGCGATTGTACATTTCATAGTTAAACCACTACAACGCGGCCACAGCTGCCCCGGGGCAGAGCGGAGGATGTTAATCCTGTTCAGAAACGGCATAATTCATTTTCAAAAACGTCTCTATCACTTTCACTTCTCACTCGCCACAAAGCTCTTGTCTCGCTCCCTCACACATTTGTTGGTCGCATCCAATTTTACCTTTCTCGCCACAATGCTGACCTGTTACAGCCAGTGGTCGCATCCAATTTTTCAGTTTCAAAGTACTTAGCTATCTGCTGCCATCTACTGATTTGAAAAAGTATTACATGGTTACTCCACAGTTCAAAACAAGTCACCGCTCGTCAACAGCGAATGCAGTTATTTTTAGACAAAGTAGACGAATTTCTCACGGCACACCAGACAATATCATACGGCACACTAGTGTGCCGCGGCACAGTGGTTGAAAAACACTGCACTATTGGACCATGTGTGGACACATCCTCAGTGACAGAGGCCTATAGCAAACTCTTTTCAAAGGAACCATTATAAATTATAGATTGTGACTGAGTTGCACAATATGTAACATTCTTTATCTAATTAGTTAAAGGTAAATAGGAGGATTTTCCACTTCCGGGTGGATCATCAAGAGTATTGGTTCTGCTAATTGTCAATCATTCTGGTGATACATGCTCATCAAATAAGACCAGAGAGAGGGCGGTTCTTTCCTAAAATTTGGGAAAATCCTCCTATACACCTTTGACTTGTAGATTTTTATTATGTTTATTGTCAATTCACCAATCAAACTATATTTATACAGAGACAGACCTCCACTCCACCTGATGAAATTCAAGTTAGTTTTTTTTTTTTTTCATGGGTGCTGGTTTTTACTTGAGGTTATAATTTTGGAATGCACTGTATTTTAGAATATTGTATAGTCTGTTATTATCATTTTTTTAACTGTTATTTTATTTTAATGTTATTAGTGTGTGTGTGTGTGTGTGTGTCTCTTCATATTGCATTCCATGTTTTAATGTGTCTTTTAAGCTGATTGTAGAGCACTTGGTATGAAATGTGCTATGCAAATAAACTTGATTGATTGAAAGCCTTTTTCACAAGACGTGAAGCTCTAAGTGCTACTCATTTATACACACATGTGCACTTAGACACACTTTCACACTTCGGATTGATATCTTCAGTTTCGCACAATTTGTGTAGAACAACAACAATGAACTTCCTTCTTTTCTATAGATTTTGATCTTAGGGCATATTATTATAGTTCGTGTTCAGGCATTTATGACAAACTATGAAGATGTAACTTCTGCACACATAGACTGTATATGGATGGTCAATGCTAACCGGCTAGCTCAATAAAGGCTATCAGGGAAGTGCTCATGGACAGAGTTTTGCTCCATTCACTTACATAAATTCTTACTCTGCAAACGTTTTGTATCACACTCACCATTTTGGACTTACAAATCTTTGGTTCGGAGCTCTGTATTTTATTTTGACCATGTCTTTTTAAAATTCAGATACTGTATGTTTTCCACAACTGACCAATCAGGTGCCTTCTGTTAGCAAATATTTAGCCAGTGAGCAGCACAAGCAGGAACAGACTGGTGCTGCTCCTGATTGGCTCTTTGACTCCAAATTCCCTCTCATGGATCCTGTTTGAGCGTGCTACAGTATAATCGACTTCTTCCACATTAAGGCAAACACTATGGGTGACGTCAGCAATGGGTTAGCCCCCCTCCCAGATCCATGGTCCCCTCCTACTGGCTGTGAGTGTGAATAACTTTGTTTCCCTAATGTCTCGCCTTTCTGTGCTTCTCTGTGCTTTAGGTGGCGGGTCGTATCCTTGCCCCCTCCTCCGGTGCCACTCTCACGGACAGGAGCCCTTGGAGCTTTTGTGCGAGTCATGTGACCTCCTGTGCTGCAGCAGCTGTCACCTGTCCACCCACAAAAACCACAGGTCAGTGTCCCATACGCCACGCAAGGACACTGCAGCCAAGGTCCCCGCACACATCCAAACTTCCCATGAGCCCCTCTGTTGACACGCTTATCGCCTCGGTTCTGCATACACTACCCTTGGTCTGCCTAATTCCCATTAAGTATTCATATGCTTTTGTTTCGGTGATGTTTCAGAACAGCGGCTGTCTCTAAGGTCACCTGCATAATGGCCGATCCCACGAGGAATAGCATTTTATTGAGCCAAAAAAAAAAAAAAAAGAGCGAATACATTAGGGAACTTTTTGTGTTGGGAAAGTAATGAAGTTGTGTGGTGTGTTTGCAGAGTGGTGCCCATAGATAAGGCTCTGCAGGACCAGCAGTGGCTGTTTGAGAGTCTGCTGGTGCAGGTGGAGGAGAGAAGGTCATCAGTGGAGAACAATGCCAAACAGATAGAAGAAAGGTCTGTATGAGTGAGTCCACTGGGATCGAACAGTAACAAGACAATGCCAATCCATACTTTAGTTAAATATAAATACAATGTTTTGATAAGAATCTTTTTCTACAGGTGTACTTTGTATCTTACTGTAATAATAAAACAGTTATGATTTCTACTTTTGCCAGCTGACCTAGAATTGAATGACCTAGATCTTATTTTCGGAGATGTTTATTTGGTTTTCAATGTCTCTGAAATACATGATTTTCTCCAACAAATCATCTCTCCAATTATCGTCGTAATTAGGCTGCGTAGAGTTTAATTTCTGGATGTAGATTTCCATTTCAAGTTAACACCGCTGCTTGTTCAATGTAATTTCTCATTAAAAATGTATCTGCTTTCCCCTTTGTCTTTTTGCAGACTTCACGGAGTAAAAATCGCACACAGGAAGGCAGAGAACCAGATTAAAATGGCAAAGATGATAATGATGAATGAGCTTAACAAACGAGCCAACCTATTAATAGAGCAACTGGAGGTAATAACTCTCCATTTCTCTCATTGCGTAGAATTTTTAAGCCTGCCGTGAGTGTGCAAGGATTTGTAATGTAATCTGTGTTTAAAGCAAATGAAGGACCATCAAAACAGAGCTGTTCAAAGGAGGGGGTCTTACACACATGACCTTTATCAAATACCATGTTACACTTTGTTTAAAAATATTGCTTCAACAACTAACAGAATAGATCATAAATTGGTTTCGGTTTCTGCTTTGAAACCAGGTCAGAGGTGGGGGCTCGTACAGATCAAAAACAACTTGTCATTTCATTTCATTTCATTCGGAGATAAGCTTTTTAAAAAGACTTCTTTTGCCCATGTTTCAATTAAGTACTTTTAATTCACAAGGTAACTAGTTCCTCTGACCTCTATTTTGGACGGCACTATTCACTGCTCCACTGTTTTTGAAAATGCAAGTCAGTCTTATCACTTTCAATGTTACACGGGCCTTGAAGAGATTGACATTATAATTGATTGCCTCATGCTTTTTATGAATACTTTTCATTGGGATATACCACACAATAACTCAATCATAGCCTGAATGACACTAAAAACCACTGCAGGTCTGTTTTTTTGATGAGGAACAGACATTGTAGAGTAAAGTGCTTCAAAACAGTTATACAAGCCGATAGCTATCAAAACAAACTCTTCCAATCACTGTGAGGTGCGGACTGCGACGGTGTCCTACAGAGTTGTGATTTCTCTGCGTAGAAATTCTCGGAGGACTTTCAGCAGCGCCTGGAGGATTACTTGCAGGGGGCCATAGAGGCGTGTGGACAGATGAACCATATTCACAAGTTCATCACCTGGGCAACGAGCCACCACCACAGCACCAGCCCGCTCCTGTTCAGCAGGGAGATGGTGAGAGGCAAACGGCATCTGTAAACATCAGACAAATTATGTGGATAATGGGTGTTTTTTAATTGAACTGTGCTGATGAATATGTTTTGTTTAGATTTCGCTCCAGATGCAGCAGTTACTTGAAGCGCCACCTCCCCTGGATTCACTGAGTCCTGTCAAGATCAAATTCAACTGGGACGCAAGTTACTGGACAAAGCAGATATCGACTTTAGGTAAAACATATCGTGTGTTTTATATGAAGTGTCATGCTTATGTTTATGCTATAAAGAGGATTGATGGCTGAGCTTCTAAACGCTGGGGTACCTAACCTAACTTTTTTGTTTCATAAATAATACATTTTCTTTGTATCAAAACAAAGAGCCTAGTAAAAAGTAAAAAAAAATTCCACACCCCGCTCTCTGTGTGGAATGGGAGACAAATGCCCACAATTGTAAACCGCTTTGTGACTCTGCTCTGTGAATGGCGGTATATAAATAAAGATTACTGACTTACTCATTTACTTTTGTGAACAAATCAGACCCCAACAAGCTGTCTTAATCTTTAAAATAAAACATTTGATATTTTGTCTATTTGTAAGAAAGAGCCCTCACTATTTGAGGTTTTGGGAAGAGCGTTGATTGGCTCAGTGAGGCTGATATTATCTTTTTCACTTTTCTGTCTGAAAAAGCTGATTTAAAGATGTGACACAGGCCACAAATACATAAATTTGAAAACTAGTGATAGAACTAAACTCTTTTTTAAAACAAGGTTAGATGTATCTTATTATATTGTTTCCTTTTTGTGATTGGACAGTTAGGTACCCCAGCTTTAAGTGCACACAAGATTAGGGCTAGACCATTTTGTATCATTCATTATATGTCGCCATTTGATTTCGCGTCAGAATTAGATTTTTCGGTCCCTGCACTTGGTGAAGAGAGCCAGACAAAGTGGCTCCACAGAGTATACACAGTTATCATGATGGGAAAGGTCTGTTTAGTGAGGAACTTACATATATATACCACCATAATGTGTCAAGCTTCAATTAAGGATGAGACTAAATCAAATATCTGTGTTATCAATATTATGAGAGAATTCATCAACATTCTATATGCAACACCAGGTATACAATATATGTTTTTATATATATACCTTATATCTCAAACAAAAACATTCTTAGGATTACTTTTTGATGAAACATTAAACTAATGTAGACTTCTTAGGGGTCACTTGGGACTGTGAATGCACCCGCAGTATGTTCACAGCCTACACTTGTTTATAGCTCAAATGATTGAATCTGAATAATAATTAATGTCTGAAAATCTGATCTTCTAAAGGACGTAGGGACATGCAGTCAAAAGGTAGCGAGCAGAACAAAATGTGCAACTCCCAAAAGTCCCATCCTAAATATTTATTACTCGGGAAAAAATGCGTGGCGTAGGGCTGGGCGATCTGGGAAAAGGGGGACTCACAGTTGACTCTTCTCAATTTCCTATTAGACTTTTGAAACTTGAAATTAAAAACAAATTAACTGCCATGACAAAAGCAATGTTGCTATAGCCAAACCTATTTAACTGAGCATACTACTTAAGCCAATCACAGTGAAAGGAGAGATTACATGCTGCCCTTTCCAGTGACTCCGAGTTCATCTCCTCTTCAGCCCTCACACTGTTAATGCCGCATGACCGGTGTCTCTCGATTGTATTTAATGTGTCGATAATTGCAATCCACCAAACTTGGGATTGTGATGTGTCAATCTTTTCTTTTTTTGGACAGCTCTAATTTGACGCAGGATTACTATTGCCTCAACACATTGTCATAAAACTACTACTGACCTGTCTGACGCTGGTCTGATGAAGGGCAAGACCCAAAACGTCATGCCTTTTACCGGTGATGTGTGGATAAATATTGTCTTTCTGTTCTTTAGGCCAGCTCACAGTAGAAGGGGGGAGCTGTCCGTACCCTCAGTCCCTGTCCTGTCCCAGTCTCCTCCGCTCTCAACCTCTCACTTGTTTGGCTCCGCCTCAAGTGTGCCACCGACAAGACTCAAGCTGTGGCTACAAGAACTGCTGTGAGCTGCCCATGTGCTGCCTCCACGGCCTCCCCAACCCAGCGGATCTGACCTCTCTGGACACATCCGCCAGGGACGGGACTCTATACAGATCCAGCCTCTTCTCCTCCAGACATTGGGACACAGACAGTTCCATGTCCGTCTCCTCTCCTGTGGCGTTTAGACCCACACAGTCCAGGTGCACTCGCTCATATTTGCATCAGCAACAGCACAACGAAGCTGTTTCAAACTCTCAAGTCAACGCAGACGGCCCAGCTCACAGCCAGTGTCAAAGGAAGATGTCTGTTTGCTCCAGTTTACAGCAGAATAACAAAGACACAACGGGTAAAGACAAGTGCGATGAGACACACGGACATGCGGTAGAGGAGCTTTTGGAGAAGGGGGAAACTGCACTTCCACAAAAGCAGCTTTATCAAACTGCCTTTGTGCCTGAGTTGAGACAAGACCAGCAGAGGACCAGACCTGTACTGACCACTAGAGATACACGGACCGGCAAGGTGAGGAAATTAAACATACACATGGTTGGAAAAAGTCTTTTTTGCCCTTAAATAATGTATAGAGCATTATGCCTTATTGTACAACTATATAACTATATTTAATTTAGATTTTTACAAATGAATTTACCTGCTTTTCATTTATGCACTGTAAAAAATCTAACACTAAAAAAGTGCTATTCAATTCACTGTTCAATTTACAAATGCTCATTCATTTTATATATTTTATCCACCAAATGGGTTTCTTCTTTACAAATAAGTGCAGGGTGTTTCATTATACTGGTGGAGTGATCACATCCCACCAGTGACAGCCTACTTAAAAACAGATGGTGTGACAAAAATATACTCTTGCTTACTGAAGAACGGGCTGATGGGAAAACAAAGAGCTGCTGCGCTGGCATTAGAAGTCCATGTTTTCACAGTCTTCTTAAGACTTCCATTAGCTCTGGCACTTTCAGCATAATTACGAAGACACATGAACAGAATAGATATAGCTATAGTGCGTGAATCATGTGGTAAAATTAGACCACATGGGTGCATTCATTTATGTACTTAACCTGTTTTAATAAGTCACAATGGGAATAGCATTGCCTGCCACTTTTATGGTTAGTACCCTGAGACAAATTTCTACAGCCCACTCTCTCTTCAGAGGTGGGATTAGAGCCTATTTTCTCTCACAGTGAGAAACATGCTCACCTTTCCCAGGAGCCACGGCTCCTGCTACTGTTTTTAATCCTTCATTTTGGAGCGCTCACTCTGTGTCAGCCTGGATTCTGAATGGCAGGAGAGGAGGAAAAGCATGGTGTAGTCACATTTAGTCACGTTGTGTTGAAACAGAGCCTTTATTTTTTACATGAAATGAAACATTTGCATACAGTAATGAGATGCTTTCATGCTCAAATGAGCAGAATTGAAAACAATTACATAGGTTATTTTCACCTTATGGGAACATCTAGACTAGAACTCCCTGCAGAGGTTTAGTGTCTCGCTGTTCATTGATTGATAATAAATATTGATCTGTGATAATAAAACAGATACAGTTACTGTTACTATAATTACATGAATGTCCACACTGCATACAGTCCTTTTGCCATAGGAGAATCTGACAGCTCAGAAAAAATATAACCATTTTCATTAAGCTGTCATGAATCTATTCATATCTCAGGATGTGATGCAGGCATAACTTTGATTGCTCATTATTTGCGCTGTCCCTCTAAGAATCTACTTTTACCACCCACTGTATTTCTTCTCAGACACATTTCTCTGCTTAATGGCCTGAACAGGTGCATCTGTGCATTAAGCCTCATATTGTCATATATGCATGTGCCTGACAGAGATCCACTTCCCTGGAGGTGCCTGTGACAGCCCCTGAGTTTGTGGCTGATGTGGAGAGGAGTCGGCTCAGCCCTAATCCAGTATGTGAGAGGAGAGAGAAGCGTTCCCAGAGCATCCCAGCAGAACTGGCTGCAGCCTCCACCATTAACCCGTACACAGAGCCGCTCCCAGCATGCCCTCAGAGTCTACAGGCTGCAGCCACCGATAAGGTAATACACGGACCCACAAACAATAAAGATGATCACCTTAGCGTGAGGTTTGCCCATCTGAAGCAAGTCATAAAAACAATTCTATGGCTGCAGGCGCACACTGTGATAATCTTAGCAAACATCTAGTAGCTGGTGAATTTTTAATATAGCAGTGGTGTTTTTTATGTTTTATTTTCACGGCTTCTACAATATTCAAGACTGCCAGCAGTAATTTTACACAAACAATGAAGTTGAGTATGCCAGGTTGCATATAAATTAGGTCACAACATTTAAAAACAATCAGTTCAAGTCTTACCCTGTTTTGTTTTTTTGTAGCACACATCAGTGGACTCCAGGCAGAGGAGGGCTTCAGACGGAGTACTTTGTGTGGTCAGAGAGAATTCAGCCACCTTACCTCCAGCGAGAAGCCGGCGCCCTCCTCTACTCACCTACAAGACTGAAGCAGGTTAAACTTCAGATTTGAGTTGATCCTATTCACCACACAGTCACAAGTTAATCCAATAATATATATACACTGCAAAAAATGATATAATATAAGGTCATTTTTTGAATAGTTGTTTTGATCTTGATAGAGTTAATTCTGACTGTCTTAAAACAAGATTAGCCAATGGGACAAGCCATTTTGTCTTAAATCAAGAACTGTATTTTCTCATTTCTAGTATCTTTTTAAAACAAGATGATTTTGCTTGTCTCATTGGCAAATCTTGTTTTAAGGCAGTCATAATGTGCACAAATTAAGATGCATTTTTCCAAATGTTAGCAATTTTTGACCAATTTTTCATCACTTTTTGCAGTGTATGATTACTGTCTTACTTTCTGACAGATCAGTCCTGCACTTTTGTCAGCGAAGGCTTGGACTTTAAGGCTAGTGGTAGATGCAGATTTTTAAATGCTGCGATCAAAGGGACCCCCAAGGAGCAGGGAAGACCCAAAGTCCCAGTGGTTTGCTTAGAGCGTCTCAAAATCCTTGTGTCTCAAATGCCTCCACAAGGACGACGGCAGAGTGACCCATTACCTTCCAGTGCAAGCAATCAAGAAGTCTGGGATGAACAAGTAAGTCACTTAACTTTCTAGATCCCTGCCCTTTGGAATCATCACTGTATACCACTGCACTGTTAAATGTCTACTGTGTGTAGGCATGCATTTACTTTATATCTGTTTTTTACTTTTTAAACTTGTTTGCACAAGTTTAAAAAGTAAACTTGTGCAGTTTGTGACTTCCTGTTTCTTACAATGGCAAGAAGACAAAACAATTTCTGATTCAACCAGTCAATTCATTCAATTGGTTTCTATGTGCCATATCCTTGGGTCCAAATTACTTTCTATAGTTTTTTCAGAAATTTCTCAAAGTACAACTTTAAAGTAACAATATGTAAGATTTTCATTTCAAATGATCTGTCAAAAGACAATAACAAAACATGCCCTTTTCAAATACTTATTTAACTGATATTAGTAGTTCAGCCAAAATATTTGGATTTTAGTTTTACAGCCCCTAAATCTTGTTAATGTTTTCATCTTGACGTCCCGCCCTCCACCTTTTTACCAATCAGAAATTCCTTGATTCGGGCCGCAGAACTAAAAAAGGTCTTGTTATGATTCTCAAATCATTAATGACAAAACAAGGAATAAAACAAGGATTTCTATCTTTGTGAAAAAGGTGTTGGTTATAGATTTTTTGTTGACAAATCTCAGCTGGGTTTGTCTGCTAATCTGGCAACCTGAGTCAGGGAGCGTGCAGTACCCGTTTTTGCCAGATTTTGACATACTGCTCCTTTAACCATTTCCATTGGATTGGTTTTGTAACAGGTCATTTATAAAGAGAGATTCTATATAGTGTTTTATTCCATACTGAGGGGCATTCAAAGCAAAGCCATTACATCTACTATTAGATTTATTTCAAACATGCAACTGTACGTACACATGTTACAAGCAACGATATCCCTCGAGAAAGCATATGTCTGTAGAGATAGTAGGCATACATCCTGCATGTACAAATATACTTAGCTTACATGTCTGAAAAAGAGTGGGAAAAAGTCAAACTAATCCAGTCCAATCCCTTTTGGCATCTTAGTTATGATCTTTTCTTTTAACACAGGATGAAGTTGACAAAAGCTCTGCGTCTCTGAGACCTACGCACTCACTTTCTTCCAATCAGTCGAGCTCAATTTCAAACAACAATGACTGTACTTATATGGGCTCTCCAAAGTCCCCCAGCTACTCCCCGCAAACCTTCTCCACACGGGATCCCAGGACTTCTGACCACGACGTCATTCACATCGACCCGGATTGTGACAGCGACGACTCGGACCGGAACGCAGAGTCGTCCTCCGAGGCGGAACACGAAAGTTTGACTCGCGAAAGATCTGAGGAAATGGACAGAGAAACTGACGCGACAGGAGATTCAGATCCAAGCCTGGAGTATCACGAAGCATCTGAGGAAGACCAGGAGCAGAACTCAAGAGAAGCCGAGTCAGAAGTAGACCAACAAGACCAGGTCGAGGAGGCGGACTCGCAGTCAGATGTGGCCCAGGACTCGCACTGCTCCGTGGATTCTGATCTGGAGTCCGAGGCCGAAACCGCCAACGATGAGCCTCAGCCGCTTCGCTCCGATCAGGAAGACGAGCCGCGCATCGGTCCCATTCTGATCCCAAACCCGGATCCGGCCCAGAGCAGCGCGGAGATGGAGAGCGAGGACTTCTGTGCCGTGTGTCTGATCGGAGGAGAGCTGCTCTGCTGCGACACCTGCCCTAAAGTCTACCATCTGACCTGCCATATTCCACAGTTGCTAAGCTTCCCCTCGTAAGTTGAAGTCATTTTGTTTATTTATCTATTTAAGCAAATCACAAAAAGACAAATGTAGTTTAAAAAAAAGTAACAAAGATTTATTTTGCAAAAGAAGTAGGCAGAAATTCAGGGGACTTGTTAAATGTGTACCTCTTCTTCACAATGAAATATTTGTTATTGTTGGTTTGGGGTAATAACAGAAAGTAATGTACATAATAAACCTGAATGTTTTGATCACTAATGGATGTTTTTACATAAAAGAATATGTATAAATGTATATTTTTGTATGGTCATTTGACAATTATATTATATATATTTGTATTTATAATTGACTTGGCAGGAAATAACATTACATGCTAACCCTGAAATGTGTCAATTTTACATTAATTTCATTTAACTTTTTAGGTGTATGAGGATTTCCCCAAATTGTAGGATAGAATCTCCCTCCTTTTTAGAACAAAACTTGTGTATCACCATAATGATTGACAATTGGGAGACCAAAAGTCCTGATGATCCACCCGGAAGTAGAAAATCCTCCTATATACCTTTTATTATTTGAGCAGATATACTTACATTCATGCTTCCATCATATTATCACCTACTGCACATACACATGCAAAGATATATACATACATACACAAAAGCAATATTCAACAGCATTCAACATGTATCGATGTATTTACAAATATATTTACAACTTACAATTAATGCGCTCAAAATGGAATGGGAAGATGAAAAACTCAAAACTAGAAAGCTATCTGTCTGTGGTGTTTCAGATTGTGTCCACTAGATGGCGCCTATAAAGTAATGAACAGAACAGAAAGTGATGGGAGAATAATCCAAACAAATGTATTTCCTCTGTCAATTGTTGTATTGAGAGTAAATAAAATAAAAGTCTGTCATTTCTCTAGAGGGGACTGGGTCTGCAGCCTGTGTCGAGATGTGGAGCAGCCAGAGGTGGAGTACGACTGTGAGAACCAGCGATCGCCCGTGGACCAAGCATCCATGTGTGGACTCGCTGCTTCAGACCAAAGAGTGGGTGGTGTTAAAGAAATGTGTTCTAAACATTTTGTTTACCAGAATTACCAACAATTTACATGTTTTCCAGAAATGTGAATGCTTGACTCTCCTAATCCTGAGCAACATGCTGAGTGCTCCCTTTCATGAACCCGTCAGTCCACTGGTGAGTCCACACACTATTTAATTGCATATAACAGGGGGGTGTAACTAAATGTGACTAAAATGTTAGAAACCTATTTCCAGTTTGGCAGTTTTTAGTTAAGTGATTTTACTTTCTGATTGTTGATCATGACGTCACACTCAGAATGTTACAACAAAGGCAATGCAAGTGTATTTGTATAGAACAAGGGAACTCAAAGTGCTGAACAAAACTAAAAGAGAAACATTAAAATCATACAAGGACTTAGGATTTAAATCATGAATACCAGTTATCACACACCAAGACAAAATAAAATAAATAGAAAATAAAACATTTGTTCAGTGTATGATCAAAGTGTGATTAAAGATTATTTTTGTAAACTGTGCCAAACTTAAGAAGGAATTCTGAATCACCGTACCATGTTATATCATCAAGTGACATGATGACAGCCACCAGGCAGCACGGTGGATAGCACTCTCGCTTCTCAGCAAGAAGGTCCTGGGTTCGAATCCTGGTTGGAACAGGGCCTTTCTGAGTGGAGTTGCATGTTCTCCCTGTGTCTGCGTAGGTTTCCTCCGGGCGCTCCGGTTTCCTCTACCACTAAAAACATGCACAATAGGTATGAATGTAAATGAGAGAGTGAATGGATGGTGTTGATTGGGAGCTGATGCAGTGTGTTCTGGACTCGCTTCTGTCCTCACCGTGTGTGCAATGATTGAAACAATATCTGAACTCTGAACATTGTAAAGCGCTTTGGATGACCTTGGTCTGTAAAATGCGCTATATAAATAAGGCCACATGCTCTGCTTGTATATTCCAACACATTTTCCAAATACTCTCAATAACAACAAAAATATGAGATGGTAATAGACAGTTTTGCATACACAGTGTTTTCTGTCTTTTTTAAACTTAACATTAAACTAAACTTAACCAAGTCGTGGCAGTTTACCAACAATGTATGAATGTTTTGGTTTTTATCTGTTCCTATGAATCCCAGTAATTCTGAGTTGTGCTGTTTTCCTGCAGGCTCGTCATTATTACCAGATCATAAAGAAACCTATGGACCTCTCTGTGATTCGAACAAAACTCAACAAGAGCAACAGCAAACATTACATCTCTCCAGACGAGTTTGTGGCAGATGTGTATCTCATGTTCAAAAACTGTGCAAAGTTTAATTATGTAAGTGAAAGAGGATTTATTTTGATTAGTTCATCTATTTTAGTGCCATACTAATGAAAGTATCACCCTTTCTCGAGCAAATCCTTTCAAATCATGTCCTACTCAACGACCCTTTATGAGACGTGGTCGCTCCTGGTTTGGGAACAAACAAACAAGGATATGGAAGGAGATTTATTTGTGAATTTGGATGCGGCCTCTTTGGGCTGTCGTCCTCAGTTGTTCAGTAAATTACTAGACCAAATGTACTAATCATCATTTTTTTTTAACAATATATAAATATTTCCATGATTAAATACTTTTTGTACTTGGATCAGGTACATAAAAATATTATTTAGAGCACTTTTTAACTCATCCTTTTTGATCATTAGGGCGTTTCTTTGATTGATGTCATCTACTGTTTGTTCTAAATCCTTCTCTGTTGTGTCCTTTGCAGCCGGACTCTGAAGTGGCCCAAGCCGGTCGAAGTCTGGAGTCCTTCTTCAACTCGAAGCTCAAAGAAGTTTTTGCTGAGCGGGTTTTCCCAGGTTTAGAGACAGACTCAGACAGCGATGAGTACGACGAGGTTGCCAGGTCCGCGGAGGGGTTTCCCTGGCCCGAGCGCAGGGAGCAGTGCCACAGGAAGAGGAAGAGGAGACACTCGGTCAAGTCCAGAAGGCAAAACGTCTGATGTTACAAGACAGACATTGGTTTTCATAGTGTTGAATCCTGCTGTTTTCCTAATATACAGTAGATACACGTGTCAAGTCTGCCCTCTGCTGGTATATAATCATAACGCAACACAATGCTTGAGATCACAAATGCACACATAGTTATTGTACTGTAGGTTTTTTTCTCAGGATGCGAGAATAATTTTGGTAGGTGTTGAAACAAGCAACATATTCTGTATTTGTACTACTGAAAATAAGAAATTATGCTTTGCACTGAAGTATTTGGAAGCATGACAGCATTTACTATAACAATTTTGTATTTAATTTGTCTTCCAGATATACCATCATTTGTTGTTTATAAGCTTTAGACTTGCCTATAGGGTTATGTCGACGGTAATACAAAAGGTATACTGCTTGCATCACTTAAAGCCCCCACCATGGACTAAAATAGAAGTATGTTTTTCACTTTTGGATGTTTTTATGGAGCTGTGAACAAGTATAATATGTGTCCTTACTGTGACGACGCTTGACTCGCTCTCGTCTTGCCGGTTTCCTTTGGCTTTACTTTGCACAATTTGGCTTCACCTGTATCTATGTCCAAATGTTCCAACATAAGGTTTTAACTAGGACTGCACCCTTAAAGAAAAATAATACTAATATCTACCAGAAAGTGCATTTTTCAGATGACCATTGAGATTAGGACAGATGTTCAAAGTGCACTTGATTAATTGAAATATAAGGGAAAAAACATATCTGTATATCTGTTCACCGTTGATATAAAATTCTCACTTGAAATCCCAATAATGCATATTTTTTGACAATTTGACCCTATATTATAAGTACATATTTTTCAATGTTTTTAATACAGTCTCTCTTCTGGGGAAAAACCACCAGAATAGTTTGACCAATGGGGCCTCGTCTGTCCATCAAGGCTTTATATGAATTCTGTCCAATTAGGAAGCAGTGGGGGTGAGAATGGGCGGGTCTAACGGTTGCTTGCCTTTTCTCTTTCTCCACAAAAGAGTAACTGACAATCACTTTAAGAGAAATACTCTACTTTGTTTAGCCTATTCTGTGACATTTGCAGTTATGCTTGTATTCTAATCCTGTTTCAGAGCTCCGAGCACAGGGATGGTCAGATTTGTATGATATGTAGACGAGACAATTTGCTGCTTGTAAAGGAAATCAAGTAATGTAAATAATTGCAGTTTTTGCGATTTGATTATTGCAGCCACTAAAATTGTGATTTTAGTTCGATTGCGATTAATCCTGCAGCCCTAGTTCTAACTTTCTTTCTCCACAGAATCCTGCATGTGATGTACCGACTCCAAAAGGTTACTCAGTGTTGCTTTAATAGTCCGTCACATCGCTCTCTTTGCACTTTGTCATCGCTTCAACTGCTGCTGTTTTGATGAAGCGTAATATTTGTCTTTTTTTTTTTTTTTACTGTAACTGCCACAATAAACTCTAAAGAAACTGTTGCCTTTTGATTTGTCTTTAAGATATTTTGTCTATATGTTCCATTGTCATGTGCCGTTTACAGTTATTTTTATTTTTTTAATCATAACACAAAACCCAAACATACATAAATGAATTAAGTCAAATTGCAACTTTGGGTGAAGTTTATTATGCATATTCCGACAGTTATAATATTTGCGCCACTGGGAAGTATATTAAAAGATCGTATCAAGAAGGAAAGAAGCTTTATTGTTTTAATTCACTATATTACATCTTAAAAATAGCTTGGTGAAAAATATGTTGTATGTCATTTTTTTCTAATGACACGTCTGTTTTTGCAAATGAAATCAAAATGACTTGGGGGGTGGGAATTTTAAAGAATGTATTTTCTTCTCTTTACTTTCTTCATTACTCCATTTCTGGATCACCTGCGACAAGAAAATAACACATCTGTACAGTATATGTTTCATATATTGTACTTGTATATAAGATTGTGTATACAAATGTAAACAGTATATTTGGCAATTATAAATATTACACATTATGGCTACATTATTAAGCTCAAAATAAACAAACAAAATCAAATTAATAAACATTCATAAACACACTGTCGATAAGCATAAAGCCAAGACAAAGCTGAAATCTCCATCTCTGAAATTATAGTCATTTTTGATATTGATAGACAGATTATATTTTTCATACCACATATTGTGTCAATCAATCAACCTCAGAGAATAGATTTTAAAGTAGCTTTACTTGTGTACAAGTCTCTCCATGGCCTCGCACCAGGGTACATCCGCGACATGTTGGTGCCATATGAACCAACTCGGGCTCTGAGGAGCACAGGGACTGGACTTCTGTTAGTGCCAAGAGTCGGAACTAGACATGGGGAGGCTGCGTTTCAGATTCATGCAGCTAGAGTCTGGAACCGTCTTCCCGAGAGTGTGAGACAGGCGTCTACTCTAGCAGTTTTTAAAACTGAACTGAAAACAGTTCTTTTTAGCTGTGCATACAAGTGAATGATTTTATATTTGTTTTTATCTTTAATCTTTTTAATGCGCTATGATTATTTATGATTATTTATGATTGTAATCCCTTGTGTGATTTTAATGTTTTACGGTTTTTAACTACTTGTGTGATTTTATATATCTTGTGCTCTTAATCTGTCTTTTTATGTTTACTTAAATTCTAATGTTTGATGATTTATGCATGATGTTATATGGGTTGTGAGGCGCTTTGCGTTGCCTTGTGTAGGAAAGGCGCTCTATAAATAAACGTTGATTGATTGATTGAACCTTTATTTGTCCTACTGAGGCAACACACACCCACACACAACCCATATCGCATCAGGCACAAATCACAAACATTAAAATCTACAAAAACATTTTTAAAAAAAACGGTTAAAAATAGAAAAAACCCCCTATAATAACCCTATTCTATATGAACAACTCTCTGAACTCTCGATGCTGCCGATGTGTGTGAGGCGTACGGTGGAGTGATGGAGAGCTGTGTGTCCTGCGCAGACCGTGGTAGATGCAGAGTTTCACAATCAATCGCTGAACTCATCCATAACGTCGCTGAGAAAAGAAAAACCCAACAGGCCCCAGGATAAAGCAGTTACTGTAATGGATGTGGTCAAACATGTCTGCATTCTCCAAAACATCCTGCGGTCAAAAAAGCAGCAGTAATAGGATTTCATATAGGAAGAAGGAAATGGCTGATGTGTTTGTGTTGCCTCCTGTTTTTTGTAGTTGATTGAGATGAGATGTTCTAAATATCTTTGTCCTGGTGAGTTTTTTGTGTAGAATAACAAGAATGAAAGGGATTTGCTGGTAACATTATCACTGTTTATGACCATTACACAAAGTGGGAGTATTATAAACGCAAGAAATAATGTGTTGTGAGTGTGTGAGCGTGTGTGTTGAGAGGATTTAGCGATAAAACGTCCTCTAGAACAGACAAATCCTCTAGAACAGGCAAACTCAGGCCCACGGGCAGAATCCGGCTCGCAAGACTGTTTTCAGTGGTCCCTTGCAATGATTTAAAATTATCATATTAAGTTGCAGCAGTGATGTTAATAGGCTACGCTGGCATGTTGTAACTCTTTTTAAATAAATAAAAAATATGTATTATATTCAGAAATGTTAGGCCAACATGTATTTAGTTAAGAATATTAAATGGGGATAAAGAATATTAAATCCAACTAATATGATTGTCATTTATCAAAATACATTTACAACATGAAAAATATGTATAATAAAAGAATACCACTTCAATGCTTTCAGCCTTTTTGTTGTTTTAAATTTTTATTCGGACCTCAAACAACATGAGTTTGACACCCCTGCTCTAGAACTATGATTGCCACTCGAAATAAAATATGAAAGTTGGTGAGTGCAGTAACTGTTTTGACCACTGAGGGGAGACAGAGACCGGGTGCAGCAGGAGATTCAGGCAAAGCTGCTCTTCTCTCAATATCGTGTTTGGACATTGCATCAAATCCCAGCAAGACATTCTACATATAGACATAGCTTCTATAGTCTGCAAATAATATGGTCCGAACAAGTTAGTTTAGTTAAGTCTTAAACCAGCTCAGGGCCAATTTTGTTCCATTTACAAGGAGCAAAATTGGAAAAAGCTGCTTCTTCTGCTATCAGCTGCAACCAATCCACCCCCCTCCCACCACAATGCTTCAATATTTGATTAATTCACGATCCAATATTGGTTTAAATGTTCCCCTCAAGCAAAAAGTACTGGCTTACAGGTGGGACTAATATATTTGTTTTTGAAACATACTCAATGTGATAATACCGGGTTATATGGTCAACAATATGAATTATTTTACAATAAAAAATAATTGAAGTTCCTGATGTAAAGGTAAAGGTGCACTTTATTGATCCCTGTAGGGCAATTCATCTTCTGCATTTGACCAATCCTGATGCCGCTAAGGCTTGCGTCAGGTGCAGCCGTAGTACAGCGCCCGGGAACCCATCTCCAGAAGTTGATGCTCGGCTTGGTCAGAACTACTGGAGCTGGAGGATTTAACATTGTGTGCATGTTTTTAGTGGTAGGGGAAACCGGAGTACCCGGAGGAAACCTACGCAAGCTCAGGGACAAAATTCAAAATCCACTCAGAAAGACCCCGTTCCGGCCGGGATTCAAGATAAGATAAGAATTCCTTTATTTATATATTTATTCCTATATTCCTTTCTTTAAACTAAGGACCTTCTTGCTGAGAGGCGAGAGTGCTATCCACTCAGCCACCGTGCCAATGAAAATGTCTTCTGAGGCTGTGCAGTTTCTTAAGGCACAAATAAATCAGACCAATGAAGGTTTTAAAGTCAATTTGTTCATGAATCTGGAGCCAATGAAAGTGTTTTAATAAAGGCGTGATGTGAGATGGGTCAGACCGTGAGCTACAGAATGTTGAATAAGCTCAGCCTAATTTGGCCTCATGTGGTTTCATTGAACTGAACATTTTATATCGATACAAGTAGTCATTGGTTAATGAAAAGCCTCATGGATGAGTCAGATGCAGGAGCTGTTGGAATAGTGGCCGCAGTGG